TAAGACAGGCAGCTACAAGGAATGTATCTTCTTAGTGGTGGCATTCCAATTATGGAACATTTCATTCAGAAAAGGTCAACTAGCAGTTACCTTATTATTAGAAACCGCATAAAATGAATTTTATTTGCTCTGGCATTTAAGATACTATTTAATCTTATTGTCCAATAGGTGTTGTTTTGAAGATCCCGTTCCTTTCAGCTAACTGGGTATTTTCACTGTTATTGTTTCATTCTTTTTGTTAGGAAAACAAATAGAAGTAGAGTAACATGTGTAAATAACATGCTATACGAGCCAGTTGTAACACTATAAATCCATGTGTTCTTTGACAAGTTGAACTCTTCAGCTTCTCATATTACAATTATCTACAGAGCTGGGAACCCCGGTGGTGCCAGCTGAACTGTTGGCACCACCTGAACTTGTGCCAGCTGAACTGCTGACCTGAAGGTCAGTGGTTCAAATTCGCGAGATGGAATGAGCTCCTGACTGTCAGCTCCAGCTTCCCATGTGGGGACGTGAGAGAAGCCTCCCACAGGATGGTAACACATCCAGGTGTCCCAAGGGCAACGTCTCTGCAGACGGCCAATTCTTTCACATCAGAAGCGACTTGCAATTTCTCAAGTAGTTTCTGACATGATTATATATATATATATATATATATACACACACACACACACACACACACATACATACACACAGAGAGAGAGAGTTGAGAAAGTTGTCCTTTTAGACTACAGCAGAGTCCTTCAACCAGCATATCTATGCAGGCTGAAAGATTGTGGAAGCAATTGTTAAAAAAGATAACTTTCTTGAGCTATGCCTACTTCACATGATAACAGTTATTACAAGGGCAAACATATGATAAGATAGAGATAGGGTAATTTAATATATGTGTCTATACCGCCCTTTTAGCTAGTAAGTTCTCAATATAACATAACATCTTCCATTTATAGATTGCCGCCTGTCAGAAAACTATTAATTTAAAGTACAGTACACCAAATTTATCTTATGACTAGAAGATGTATATAGAAAAAAACTCTATCTAGCGACACTAGGTTTCATATTTCATACTCCCATACGAATAAATGGAGATCTTCAAATTTCTCAGGGCAACAAGATAGCTAGTAACAGTGATAACAAGAAGTCAACAAAGTGCAAAAGAAATACAAAAGTGAGAGCATAGCAACTATAAATACTCCTCCCAATTTTCTGAATGAGTTTCAGAAAGGCAATGATCTTAAACGAAGATTATAAAAGAAGAGACCAAATAACTAACCCATCAAGAAAAAAAACCTGTTAGGTGCTATAGCAACTTCAGTTTTACGGTCTTAATTAATGTGAAATAACAAACAGGATTCACAAAATGTTTGGAATCCATGTACACTTCAGAATGACTATAATGAATGAATGTTAACTGCACAGACAACAGCCCTACTGAGATTCATTCACATAGGACGACAGACTAAGATAAATGCCCCGGCATTGTGGCAGAGGTGAGTAGTGTGTTGAACTCAATAACCATTCAACAGATCACAAATGAATCACATTTAAATGAACTTACCATGCAAGTTGGCCTATTCAGATTCAGAATTAGCATAGCATCGGCACATCTGCTTGGGCCAACGACTACAGGCGTATTTTCTTTGCATACAAATGGGCCAACCCATATGGTGTGTATAAATCATTGAGTACATGTGGTAAATGTACTCAAGGGATTTTCCCATGGCTACTATTACCTCTCTTTAAGATTTCATGATAACTTTGGATTTTGAAATCTGATTAATTCATAGCTCCATCATACTGTATTTGCAATTACAAGTTACATCACAAGCCTACAAGCCCCGCTGCAAAGACATGTAATAGTTATATCATAGTTATGACAATGTATTGTGAAAACAGTTTCCATTTCCAAAAGTATGATAACAATTTCCAAGATGTCGTTATTAAAACAGCTGTAGCATAGTACATCTAGGCATTCTATGGATTTAATTCAGGGAGATGGACTACTGCTCTCACAGACAATTCTAACTCACGAAACTATGAATTCCTGAGTTTTGTAGAATGGAACCATGGTAGTTAAAGTGGTATCAAACTGATATGGCTGTGTAATATGGATTTGGATACCTCTTAGTATATACTGCTTAGCCCAATCTATCTTTGTGGACATGGCACAAATTTCCACCAGAAATTATAAATCTTTTCTGGAAAATGTATGGAGCATTTTCACACTCTTAAATGTAGACTTCCAAAAAATCAGTCAAATTAAAAATTGAAGTAATGCAAATGTTTCTTTACAATATCTGATGACAATGTGAGGAGTTTAAAAAGGAGGGGGGACAGTACAGGGCTCTCTAGAGCCTCCAACTATAATAAATAATTCTAAGATTTTAAAAAAACATTCTGAAACACGAAGAGAAGTGTGTTGAAAATACACAATAAATACCAAAGTATTGTGTTCTGTCATTTGGGTCACCTCCCCCAAACAAACACAGAGCTAAATGTATTGTCAAAGGCTTTCATGGCTGGAATCACTGAATTCAACAGCTTTATTTACCAACAGTCTCGTTTTTAGATTTTAAAACACGCATGGACAAATTTAGGCCCTCCAGGTGTTTTGGACTGCAACTACCGCCATTCCTTTCTTTTTTAAAGGATGCTCAGAACCAAGTTTTATTGAAACACATAAACCAAGAACTCTTTGCAATTCAATAGGTACACAAAGGGACTATTCCCTATTTGCCAAACTTTTCCCAGACTTCACAACCTCCAAGTTGGAATCTCTTCTTCTTAATCTTCTTGCAAAGTCCCCTCCAAAAATTTATCAAACAGGAAGGGAACCCAAACAATACTGTCTTTTTCTCTTAGACTGGTCCTACGTTCCCATATCATGGAGTGACACCAACAGGCTTCAAACTTAGATGGCAGTTGTGTATCTGGGCTTTGGAAGGTGTCCGTCCAAAAACTCAAAAGTCTCCAAAACTTAGTACTCAAACTTAGATGACAATTGTTTATCTGGGCAAACTTAGATGGTGGTGTGTATCTGGCATGTTCCCCTATGAACCAGTGCGTACCTTGAGATCTTCTGGGGAGGCACTGCTCTCTCTCCCTCTGCCGTGACATGCATGGTTGATGGGGATGAGGGAGAGAGCCTTGGTGGTGGTGGCCCCCCGGCTCTGGAACTCCCTCTCTAGGGAGATCAGACATGCTCCCACCTTGTCCTCCTTTCGTAGTCAACTAAAAACCTGGATGTTCCGGTGTGCTTTTGACTAAGCAGCTCACCAGTAACTTTCTTGACCGTACTTGAAGTTCCACACTTTACACCAGCCGGCATTTTACACTGTCATACGTCCTACCTCAACATGTGCTTGACAGTATTTCCTGCCCAGTTTACTATACTGTTGCACTTTCCTGCGCTCCTGTAAAAATGTATTGCACTCATTGATTCTGTACCTCAACTATGTTTCTTTCAGCCGTATTGTTTTTATATTGCTTTCAATTGTGTTATTATTTGTTTTATCTGATGTTTTAATTGGTTAAAGTGTTTTACATGTTGTGTTTTAATTGTAATCTTGGGTGTGTCCCTTGTAAGCCACCCCGAATCCCCTAGGGGAGATGGTTGGCGGGGTATAAAAATAAAGCTATTATTATTATTATTATTATTATTATTATTATTATTATTATTATTATTATTATAAGGTGTCAGTCCAATAACTCAAAAGTCTCCAAAACTTAGTACTCAAACTTAGATGACGATTGTGTATCTGGACAAACTTAGATGGTAGTGTGTATCTGGCTTTGGAAAGTGTCCGTCCAATAACTCAAGTCTCCAAAAGTTAGCATTCAAACTTAGATGATGATTGTGTGTGTATCTGGGCAAACTTAGATGGCAGTTGTGTATCTGGCTTTGGAAGGTGTTACTCCAAAACCTCAAAATTCTCCAAAACTTAGTACTCAAACTTAGATGATGATTGTGTATCTGGGCAAACTTAGATGGTGGTGTGTATCTGGCTTTGYAAGGTGTCCGTCCAATAACTCAAAAGTCTCCAAAAGTTAGCATTCAAACTTAGATGATGATTGTGTGTGTATCTGGGCAAACTTAGATGGCAGTTGTGTATCGGGTTTTGGAAGGTGTCAGTCCAAAACCTCAAAAGTCTCCAGAGCTTAGTACTCAAACTTAGATGATGATTGTGTATCTGGGCAAACTTAGATGGTGGTGTGTATCTGGCTTTGGAAGGTGTCAGTCCAAAACCTCAAAAGTCTCCAAAACTTAAGATTTCACATCATAAGGTAAAGGTAGTCCCCTGACATTAAGTCCAGTCATGTCTGACTCTGGGGTGTGGTGCTCATCTCCATTTCTAAGCCGAAGAGCCAGCGTTGTCCGTAGACACCTCCAAGGTCATGTGGCCGGCATGACTGCATGGAGCGCCGTTACCTTCCCGCTGGAGCGGTACCTATTGATCTACTCACATTTGCATGTTTTCGAACTGCTAGGTTGGCAGAAGCTAGGGCTGACAGCAGAAGCTCACGCCGCTCCCCGGAATCGAACCTGCGACCTTTCGATCAACAAGCTCAGCAGCTCAGTGCTTTAACCCACTGCGCCACCGGGGGCTCATAGAAAGGGTCTTTTAAGGTCCCCAAAAACTCCAAAACAGACTCAAATTGAACCCTTGGACTAGAAATACCTTCCCATATACTTAAGCTTGAATTGCTAAGGATTCACATCTTAAGGTGGTCTTTTAAGGTCCCCAAAAACTGCAAAGTCAACTCAAAGGAACTCTTTGAATCCTCTAGAACTGGAAATACATTCATTCCCATATACTTAAGCTTGAATTGCTAAGGATTCACGTCTGACGGTGGTCTTTTACCGCTGAGGGGGGAAAGGAAAGGGCCCGAGGCTGTTGGGAATGGTGGGAGTTGAAGTCCAAAACACCTGGAGGGAGGGCCCAAGTTCAGGTGTTCTGCACAGAGATGGGAGCCAGGCCTTTGGAGAGGCCCCTTCTCACCTGCTCGCGTCCACGACGGCGCCCACAGGAGGAAGAGCGCCCAGCAGCGCCACAGGCAGCAGCAGGAGGAGGAGGAGGAGGAGGAGGAGGCGGCGGGGAGGCCGAGCCGGGCCATGCTGAGGGAGCCAGGCGCGCTTCCGACGGAGCTTGCCGCCTCCTCGCTTGGGCCAGTTTTGTACCTTCGCCCGGCCGGCGGCACATGGCCCGCCCTTCCGTGCCCTGCCTTCCCGGAGCTCGCCCCGCCCCGCACGCCATGGGCCACAAGGCCAAGGCCCCACTCTTTGCAGGTATCTTCCTCACACGCAGCTTTGTTGGTGGTTGTATGGCCGCCCTCATCTATGGGTTGAAAACCGTTTGCAAACGGATCACCAAATCATAAAGAGCTGTCCAATCTAGTCAACAGACTCTAAGCACAAGCATGAGCCAATTTGGGCCCTCCAGGTGTTTTGGACTTCAACTCCCAGAATTCCTAACAGCCTCAGGCCCTTTTTCCCCCTCAGCCGCTTAAGCGGCTGAGGGGGAAAAGGGCCTGAGGCTGTTAGGAATTCTGGGAGTTGAAGTCCAAAACACTTAGAAGGAAGGCCCAAGTTGGCCCATGCCTGAACTACACTGTGGAGACAAAAGGCCCTTCCACAGAGCTGCATAAATACCACATATTTTTGTTGTTGTGTCTGGAGTGACTTGAGAAACCGCAAGTTGCTTCTGGTGTGAGAGAATTGGCCGTCTGCAAGGACGTTGCCCAGAGAACGCCCAGATGTTTTGATGTTTTATCATCCTTGTGGGAAGCTTCTCTCATGTCCCTGCATGAGGAGCTGCAGCTGACAGAGGGAGCTCATCCGTGCACTCCCCGGATTCGAACCTGCGACCTGCCGGCACAGGGGTTTAACCTACTACACCACCGGGGGCTCCTAAAATCCACATAGAAGTGGATTATATCACAGTGTAGACTCATATAATCCAATTCAAAGCAGATAATCTGGATTTTATATGGCAGTTTAGATGGGGTTTGTTTGGTTTGGATTTATTTTTTGAGATGCCAATTCCAAACGGCTCCAAGTACTTCAACCAGGTATTGTGGGAAATTTATTTATTTATCGTGTCAGAAGCAAAGCGAAGGTATGGTTGTACTGCAATGCTTTTTGATTGTAGGTGAACTATAAATCAGCAACTACAACTCCCAAATGTCAAGGTCTATTTCCCCCAGTGTTCACATTTGAGCATATTGAGTATTTGTGCCATGTTTCATCATTGTCTGCATCCACAGTGCTCTCTGGATGTAGGTGAACTACAACTCCAAAACTCAAGGTCAATCTCCACCAAACCCTTCCAGTATTTTCTGTTGGTCATGGGAGTTCTGTGTGCCAAGTTTGGCTCAATTCCATCATTGGTGGAGTTCAGAATTCTCTTTAATTGTAGGTGAACTAGAATTCCAGGTAACTACAGCTCCCAAATGACAAAATCAACCCACCCTCAAGACCCCACCAGTATTCAAATTTGGGTGTATGGGGTATTTGTGCCAAATTTGGCCCTATGAATTAAAATACATCCTGCATATCAGATATTTAGATTACAATTCATAACAGTAGCAAAAACACAGTTATTTATTATTTATTTATTGTATTTGTATACCATCTTTCTCAGCCTGAAGTTATGAAGTAGCAATGAAAATAATTTTATGTTTGGGGGTCACCACAATGTGATGAGCTGTATTAAGGGGTCGTGGCACTGGGAAGGTTGAGAACCACTGGTTTAGATGGAGGGCCTATTTTCTTTGTTTGGTTTGGATTTATTTTTTGAGATGCCAATTCCTATCAGCTCCAAGTACTTCAACCAGGCATTATGGGAAATTTATTTATTTATCGTGTCAGAAACAAAGCGAAGGTACGGTTATGTCTTTAAAAACACAAAGTTTAAACGCTTGGCAATATATTAAATGTTCTTTGACCAGTAGCTGGCCACTTGGAGTGCCTCTGGTGTTGCTATCAGAAGGTCCTCCACTGTGCATGTGGCGGGGATCAGACTGCGTTGTAATAAGTGATCTGTGGTTTGCCCTTCTCCACATTCACATGCAGCTCCATTTCTTAAAGTTGGCTCCGCATCTCGTGGCGCCAAAGCACGGTCTGTTCAGCGCCTTCCAAGTTGCCCAGTCTTCTGAGTGCCCAGAAGGGGGTCTCTCCTTCAGTATCAGCCATAGCTTGAGGTTCTGGGTTTTAGCCTGCCACTTTTGGACTCTCATTTGCTGAGGTGTTCCTGCGAGTATTACTGTAGATCTTAGAAAACTATTTCTTGATTTAAGGCATTGGCATGCTGGCTGATATCCAAACAGGGGATGAGCCAGAGATGTCACTGTCTTGGTCCTTTCATTGTTGGAAATAAAGTTCAGAAGTTCAAAAGCATTTGGAGTGCTACAGATTATGTAGTCCTGTTACAGAGGTAAACGTACTTCATGGCTCTGCAATGGTCTTAAACCAGATACTCATATTTTCAAGGGCATTTGCTGTTCTTCAAAAGTGATAAGGGGATGGGGGTATATAGTTCAGTATACAAACCACTGTATAGTTTTTATGTCATTAAAATGTAATTCATTCCTTATTTAACACGCTCCAGCATTTTAAAATGTCTGAAAATGTATGGACTGGCATTTTGATGCAAGCGTATCCTAGTTATGTTCTGAATGAAAAGAGACAGTGTCCTCTTACCAGGCGCTGCTTCAACCACTGTAAATATTTCATGCAGTCCTGTGACTTAAGCCAGAGGCAAGTATACTTATTTATCTCCAAAAGTTGCTTTTGATGTTAGTCTCTTAGGCCTCTTCTACACAGCTGTATAAAATCCACATTGAACTGGAATATAGCAGTGTGGACTCAGATAATCCACTTCAAAGCAGGCATATCTGCCTTGATATTAAGTAATGACTCAGAGCCCTTACACACAGCCATATAACCCAGAATATCAAGGCAGAAAATCCCACAATATCTGCTTTGAACTGGGTTATCTGAGTCCACACTGCCATATAACCCAGTTCAAAGCAGATAATGTGAGATTTTATTCAGATGTTTGGAAGGGGCCTCACAGCCATATTGGATGAGTTGCATTTCCCGTTAAAATAAAGCTTTGAATGCGATTTTCCTGCTTCTTGGCAGGGGGTTGGACTGGATGGCCCACGAGGTCTCTTCCAATTCTATGAGTCCATGTTTTCAAAATTGCTCTTCCTTATTGCGCCTTCGGAACCTTAGAGGTATTATTGCCTTCATTAGCACTAAAACCTTATTGCATTTATTATTAAAACCTTATTGCATTTACTGTTAAAACCTTATTAAAACATTTTATGGGAGAGGAACAGAACAGTGACAATGTCATGAGATAAACCCCACCCAGGGTGCTATTATTCCAATGAAGTTACAATTTATTTGTCTTGTGCAATAACACTATTTTCCTGAAATAACAAAAAATTAAATTTCAGTTGTTTTATTAAATAACACATTTTTTAGTTGAGCTACCGTAACATCAGTTTAGGATGTACATATGATTAATGCAATTTTTTAAAAAAATGTTTGCCATACTAGTATTTCTGATGAGTTGGGGTTGTGGGATGGATTCAGGTTAAACTAGTTTTTCTTTTACCTTCAATTGTGTGGCTTTTTTTACTAATGATATCAAGTTTTGCAGTATTACAAAAGATGCCAGCAATGCAATCATGTATATGTGTGCTGAGGAATAAGTCGCACAGAATAATTCTAAACCTACAACTGTAGACTCACTTCTCTGAGTTAAAGCCACAATTAACAAATTGAATAACTACTAAGCAGACAACAATTGCCAGGTGATGTAGCTTATATTTCAGAGGATGGAACTGGAATTTCACAGGGACCTGCAACCAATGACTTGTGCACTAGCATTGGTTTATGGCCCACCACTCTGAATAGCACTAATAAATTGTTTTTGGAATTTTCCCCACAAAGAGGCTTCATCACCATTCACCACATAGAGTAAATATTGCTGAAGAATCATTATCTCGCAGAGAAAAGCTAGGTGCTGTACATAGTTGCCTAATTTTTCTATGCATATTGCCAATTTTACTTTCTTTGCCTCCTAAAAAAGACCTTCTCTAAAGGAATTAAGTCTTCTTTAAGGAAAAATGTTGTGTTTTTTTCTTATGCCTGCTTTAATTAAGAACTAATTGTGAAGGAATGTTCTTGTAATGAGGGAGGATACCTTGGTCCAGCTAGGTGATGAAAAACAAATGTGATTAATTAGGACATTGTTCTGAGCAGCAAGTAGCCTCTTGGCTTGAGAAAGGTATAATAATCTTTACATCTCAGCCTAATGTTGAACCTCGATGCATTTGCTGCATAAGTGACCCAAATTGGGGTTGTTCTCGGACACATTGCTGCATAAGTGACCCAAATTGGGGTTGTTCTCGTTGCTGTTCAAAGGGATTTCCAGCAACAGACTGAGGAGAATTTGTCTGATTTGTATTTATTTCTTACGTTTTTGTTGTCATACCTGTTTTATGAAGATTACTGCAGACGCAGACTGCAGCCAGGAAATCCAAGACATTTACTTCTTGGGATGAGAGGAATCGCCAATCTCAAATAATGAAGAGTAGAGACATCACACTGGCAACAAAGGTCCGCATAGTTAAAGCAATGGTACCCCCCATAGTAATCTATGGATGTGAGAGCTGGACCATAAGGAAGGCTGAGCAAAGGAAGGTAGACATTTTTGAACTGTGGTGTTGGACGAAAATTCGGAGAGTGCCTTGGACCGCAAGAAGATCAAACCAGTCCATACTCCAGGAAATAATGCCCAACTGCTCACTGTAGGGAAGGATATTAAAGGTACCCTGGCCTCATAATGAGAAGACAGGAAAGCTTGGAGAAGATAATTATGCTAGGAAAAATCGAAGGAAAAAGGAAAAGGGGCAGTCTAAGGGCAAGATGGATGGATGGTATCCTTGAGGTGACTGGCTTGACCTTAAAGGAGCTGGGGGTGGCGACGACCGACAAGGAGCTCTGGTGTGGGCTGGTCCATGAGGTCACAAAGAGTTGGAAACGATTGAAGAAATAAATAGCAAACCTGTTTCTTTAATAAATTCTTTCTTGGTGTGCTGATTGCCTTCATATCCAAAAATAATTTTTTGCTTTTGGCAAAACACACCAATACTCACCAACCAAACTTCAGACAGATAGGGGTGAACAATACAGTCCAGAATGGAGATATTCATCACCCCACCACACCAAAACTATTTAGAGCTTTGGAGATCATAAATTGCTTCTAGAACTAAGATTATACTTCAAACCAGAAGCCAAGGGTTGCTGTTGTTCATTCGTTCAGTTGTTTCCGACTCTTCATGACCTCATGGACCAGCCCATGCCAGAGCTCCCTGTCGGCCGTCACCACCCCCAGCACTTTCAAGGTCAATCCAGTCACTTCAGGGATGCCATCCATCCATCTTGTCCTTGGTTGGCCCCTCTTCCTTTTTCCTTCCAAGGGTCATTAAGCAGCAGCATCTAATTTATTGACCGAGACAGCTCAATTACAGCATTTCACACTTTTCAACAAATCAGAGTTTTGAATCAATTCTAATACCACCCTATAAAGACTATCATGTCCATACAGTTACCACATGGACAGTCTTTCCTGTTGGAGAGAAAAATACAGTAGGCAAGTGACAGAAACTGCCTTTTTTGAGGGTCTGGCATCCAGGCTATATTTGTGCAAGGCAGGGCTACAGTAGCTACAACAGTAACCTAAACTTCATGGAGTGATGCAATGTCCAGGAATACACACATACTACAAATATAGAATTTCACAGTGAGTGTCCCCATCAGCTGAACCTGATGACCTTTCTGACTGATTAAAAGCACTTCTGTTTTGCCTGGAAAATCTTATAGTGTTAGTTGGCTTCTACCATAGTCTCTGGATGATGTTTCAGAACTGCACTTTCTCCTTGGAATAAAGTGGGAATGTGAAATAGGGTTACCTCTATATTGATAGTACCTTACTCCAAATTTCCTGACAGCCTTTCCCAGCAATCACATACTTATTTTAAAGCAAAAAATAAGACGGAAATGTGCAATGTCCTGTAGGTTTTAGTTCAATATATCTCTCAGGAGCAGGACAGAAAAATGTGTGTGTAACAATTCAGAATTTAATTTAGCTTTGCTGACAAGCACACACAAAATATCCATAGCAAGATGATATAAAACACTAAAAATACACAGAACCTTATCCAAAAGAATTTATTTCACCTTCAAATACAGTAATACACATTTCCAAACAAATATAAAATAAGACATGGCAATTAAAGCCTTAAATTACAAAAATGGATACCAGATCAACATATTTTAAATAACAAATATTTTAGAGGTATTTTTACGAATAGGGAACAGGGTGTTTGCAATACAAAAATCCTTACCTACACATACACCTATGAGAATCAAGGGCATGGGCAGACAATTTTAAACAGGAATAGTTTAAAAAGCTTGTTCTCTCCCTTATTTACTAATTTATATAAAATACTCGTTGGTATGCTCAAAATGACTTATAAGAGATATGTAGGGATGAAGTCTGTATTAACTTCACCAGACCTCCTTTCTACCAACTGCCTCCATTTAAGTGAAGGCCATTGCAAAGCAGGAATCAGCACAATTTGTGCCGTGCAAAGTGCTTTAAAAAGTTTTGGAAGGGGGGAATATTTTGTACATGTGATTCTTCGTTGATCTCATTTGACTCCAATTTCGACCCAGAAACTGGATGTGGAGGGGCTGTCACATGAACGCCCTCTGATTGTGTCTTTTATGCTGTAAAAAAACCAATGCATCAACAAAGTCCCTAATTAGATAATAAGAAACATCTTACATTTGGAAATCTGTATTTGCCCATGTGACAGAGGGAAAAAGAAACATGTTCCTTTTCTTAACAAATACTGCAAATACATGGAGTCTATGTGACATCTGGTTACTTTTTTAACTTTTGGGGATTCTTTAATTATGTCCTTATGCTATTTTACAAGTAGGTGCTAGAGCATTTTGTAGTAGCCAGTTGCAGATATTCCAAAGTGCCTTTTCTGTAAGAAGACATGCGTGAAATCTCTCGCTCCTGGAATCCTTCTGTTTCCCTTTTCTGAAGAGAGTGTGTTATCATTTCAGCAAATTCAGCCTGCAAACGTTGCTGATTCTCCCTGAAAGCAGAAAAACAAAAAATTGTTAAGTGGTATACAAACTATTTTTCCCAATAATATTTATTTCTTTATTTATTTGAAGCATTTATATTCTGCCCTTCTCACCCCAAGGGGGACTCAGGACGGAGCACAACATACATATGGCAAACATTCAGTGCTGGAACATAAAATAAACTATACATGTATACAAATACTAAAATTGTTTTAAACCATAATAATCTCCATTAGGTTCATAATGTGCGTTCTAAATCCATTATATAATATTGAATGTGATCTATACATTATATTGAACTCCACTTTTATGTCCCATGGAGACTATACGAATTGAGAAGCTCTGCTGAGCTACCATTGCCAGTTTTCAAGAAAACAGTCAAACTTTTCTTATTTACTCAGTAGTTCCATGCCATCACTACTAAACCTTGGCCTCTTGCAAAGGGTCCAAAGGTCCCATAATAACTACATAGTACTAACCACAAGCTGCAATTCCTTCATCAGCAGAAGGCACAGCTGAGGCAAAGCTACCCACCCTTTCCTCGGTTTATGCATTCCTCACTGTACTTATCAGGTCAAATACTGTAGTCAACAACCCAAAAATTAATAACATTCAGTAATCTAGGCGATACCCAATATCTAGATGACCATAATAATTAAATCAGTATAGAGGTTTGGATCTATTTGAATTTTGAAAGATGAAATATATCATGAGCTTGGATTTAACAACAACATTTATTACAAATAATCACAATGTATTGAAGCATTTTACTATGGATTTGAGAATTTTGTAGCCATGATTCAGAATAGATTCTGGTGAAGCTGAGGATGGGTTTTAAAAAATAGCATGGTGGTTTAACTCCTACAGAGTTAATGCTTCCCAGTTTTGGGTTTCAACTAACCAATATGCAAGTCAATGAGGATTTGGAGCAGGATGTTCAAACCACATGTCAAAAGTGACTAAGCAAGGGTGTGTAAAGCTGTCTACACATTTAAACAAGTCACTGACAAAACATAGCTTGGATTAAAATTATTCAGCTATGTGTTTCAGCTTCTTCATATGAAAATAATGACCTTTAAAATAGAATGATTGACAAGACCTATTACATTAAATATGTAGTAATTTGTAAGTCCAGCTATGCAATAATATGTTATTGAATGCAAATGACCTGGATGTCATATACCATATATATTAGAGGGGGACAGCCCTTTGTGCTCATTTCAGGAGTCATAAAATAGCTATCTGAACAAACAAAATGGACAACTTACATTTTGAGTTGAGATTACTATAGCATTTCAGACTTGAGAATCTTTCCAACATAAAATCATCCAATTCTGGCATACTCAAAGGAATAAAGATTTACTTCGTTTACAGATTGAATGCCTTAACACATGTATTTAACTTCCTTAATTCTTAAGTTTTATATGTACTAAATGAATCTATTTAATCATTTCATAGATTGTTCAGATACCCTGGTCCCAAGCCATTAGGCCTTTGTACATCATAAGCATCTTGAATAGAACCTGGAAATTAAGTGAAAGTCAGTGCAATTTGGGTATGACTGGTATAATACAGTTCATAAAGCATAAGTCAGAATGCAACTTAGGGGCAGAATTTTGCATTAGAATAAGTTTTTCTCAATGGCAATCCCACAAGGAACACATGGCATTCGTCTATCTTCTTCAGGAGAGGTGTAAGTTACATACCACCCAAAGTTGGGCAAATATAATGGCCACTTTGGCATCCAGGAGCAAAGCTGAATGCAAGAACACACTTAAAGTGAATGCTGGAGCCTTCAAATGGAAACTAGACCATTCCAAATGAACTTCTAGACACAGATAAAACTACCTATTGACTATCAAGATCTTTCTTTCTCTTAGGGTGGAACTTCAACTTGTTAGCCTAAATCCAATCCTGGTAAAGATATCCATCAGTTGAATAAGAGAAACAAAGCTGAGTATCATCAACTCAACCTCCTGAATTACCACTCCCTAAAACATCATGCTAGGCAGTGGTTCTCAACCTGTGGGTCCATAGATGTTTAGGCCTTCAACTACCAGAAATCCTAGCAGCTGGTAAACAGCTGGAATTGTAATCCAAACATCTGGGAACTCACAGGTTGAGAATCACTGTGCTAGAGAGATAAAAGAGAGCATTGAAGAACCACATAGGCATTGTGAAACGTGTAGTTCACAAAACTTTAAAGTCTTTGTGAATTTCTCAGCTTCCTTCCTCTGCCATTTCAGTGATATTCACTTAATCAGTGTTCAGTATTTGTGTATAACCTCTAAGAATATTACCTGTAACACATTATTTGTGGGTGATGGGAATGAATGTTATATTTTGCAAAATAACATAATGCCAATTGCATGTATGTGAGCATATATGTGCGTAAAACAAATATCAATAACTAATTGCTCCTGAAATGTTTCTTTGAAGATTCATGCCAGTGCTGTTGTTCTTTATTTTCTAAGTGAAAAAGTAACTGCTAGTAATATGTTAAAAACAACATGAAACTTTAGTTATTGCTGAATAATAAATTATTTCTTGTAAATAATGTTACAAACATTGGAAAATGTCCAGTACTATTAGCATCTTGGGGCCTAGCCTGAAATCAGGAGAATGCTATCTTCAGCTGCTAACCAGAGACTAAGCTTTGCTTAACACATAGCACTGGGGCTCCTGAGTAGACAATGATAGTACTTTGCATGCTTGCTTAAAAATTGGCTTACGGTGTTGTGGTAAGATTTACTGTGTATACATGCACATATGTGTATAGACGCACATATGTGTGTGTATCTGTGTGCTGCTCAAAATACCCCCCCCCCAAAAAAAAACCTAGGCACAAACCTTTCTATACTGTACCTCTAGCACTGTGGTTCTCAACCTGTGGGTCCCCAGGTGTTTCAACCTATAACTCCCAGAAATCCCAGCCAGTTTACCAACTGTTAGGATTTCTGGAAAGCCAAAACATCTGGGGACCCATAGGTTGAAAACCACTGCTCTAGCATAAGCCAATGGCCATGAAAGCAAGCAATAATTCTCCAGCACCAGTGTCTGGCAATGTTTAGACAAAACACATAGTCCTTAAGCCTTCTAGTTCTATACCATGATAAAAGAGAGGGGGGGGGGGCAACAGAACAAATCTTTAGTTTTTTGGACACTGCTGATCGGAGAGCAGCCTTGATCAGCCAGTGACTAAAATTTTCAGCCTCAAAATCTGACCTGAAAAGAAAGAATCCCCAAAAGCTGTTTTATCAGAGAAAATCTGGAATTATATGGCCACCATAACTAAAAGGAAGATTGAAAACTGGCCCATTATTCAACGATGGGATCCAAAAAAATTTTTTTAATAATGGTCTAAAAATTACAAAGTAATTGATCATCCAATGGCTTTTAAATAATGATCTCAGGAGATGGGGAAAAAGTATTTGCAGCCTCCACACCACAGTAAGCCAATCTCTTTTGGCAGATTTTTATCAACCAGAATCAAAGCAGCTTCCAGGTTTCACCCCTTCAAGCAATTTCTCTGCATCCTCAAGCCAAACAAATGAAACCTGTTGGTTAAGCATGGACAGGTTAATGCCTCAATCACTATCTGTTTGCTCCTAATGTGGAATCCAAGCTAGAGCTAGTGATTTTATCTGTGAAATATTTTGTAACCTTGTCAGAACAGATCACTGTTGGTTGCTACTCATTACTCTATATACCATTGCCCTCACCTCAAAAACCACAAAGCCAGTGCTTTATGCAGTAAGTAGGAGCTTGCAAACAACTGGTGTTAACTCCCTTTGTCTTTAACTATGTTGTGCACTAATCAACCTGGATGATCAGTCAAGTAGCCAGAAACTCATTCAGAGTTTCTTCTGGATGCAAAATTTTTTATAAGTGGATCATGTTAACAGTACGTATACGTAAAAGCCCTGCCCTAAAACCCATTAGATAGTTTCCTCTTGTAGAATTGAAATGTCTCTTTAATTTTTTAAAGCAACTTCACAGTCCTGAGAGGTCTCTTCATTCTCATTTTTCTTAAAATTGTCACTTGGTTTGAAATCCAATTCTGCGTGTTTCTTATGAAATTGGAAGCTATAATGTTTGGTTAAATATGTGTCTGTTTTTTTCCCCGGTTGGTCGCTTCTTCGCATACACGTGTTTACAATTATGCCAGAACCTATGTAGGTGCAATAGTGTTTGGTGCCAGCACTTTCCCTACCCACTTACTTAATAGTGCATAGTCACCCTCTTGTGAACTTATTCTTGACACAAGAGGTCTAGCATTCATCTCTTTTTCTCCTCACAGGAAAGATTCTCCAAGTGAGTTGATGTATTGGCATGTCAAGAGGCTCCAACACAGAAAAATGAGATAAGAATCGTGAATCTGGTTGCCACAGTGACTTAGATAGACTAGTGGTAGCGGAGAATGAATTTGACTACAAGGGTATAGTTGGTTATCACTGAAAGATCCAAGACCTATTATCTTCTTCACTCTCCCACAAGTTGTAATTTAATGAAAAAGCTTTTTTAATGGAAGCAAGATAACGCAATATTTTATATCTGCATTCCTCTTTGTAAATAATATACATAAACAGTGTGTGTGTGTGTTATGTATATATATGCATTTACTGTTGTGTGTCTTCAAGTCATTTCTGATTTATGATAAACCTAAGATGATCATATCACAGGGGTCTGGCCTGAGAATATGTGGCTCATCCAAGGTCACTCAGTGGGTCTCCATAGATGAATGGGGAATCAAACCTTGGTCCCAGAGTCATATTTCATTGTTCAAACCACTACATGGTGCTGGGTGTATATAGATATATAAATCTCACAGAAGCATGTTTTTAAATAGCCCTGGTATTCGTGAGACTAGCATGTACTAGAATACTAAGAGGTAAGCCATTTTCAGGAACATGGTCAGATAATGTATTTTCTAAAAGAGAATACAAATATATTCTAAACATTGCACACTTTTAAGTTACAGTCCTCAAGTTAAAGAATCTCTTACACAGAAGGTGGTGTTGGGAGATTATACTGCTGGTCCTTCATGCCTGTCAGCCAGTAAGTAATCTCAGTTCCTTTGCCCTAATATAAAATGACAGAATAATAAATTTGAGGTTATATTGTATGTGTCCATTTCATTTTTTTAAATCGTTAGGCTTACGTGGCCATTACATAAATTATTCAAACCCGTCAACTACAGTACCATAATATAAAAAAATACTTATTTATCCACTTTGTATACAGAGAATGTGGTGGATAAATTGTATGCTTGGTGCATTTTCTAAATGGAAATGAGTACATATATAAATATATCAGATGCCAGGATCAACAAATTGATAATCGTATCTACAATTATGCATAGATAAGTATCAGTGAAATTAACAAATCATCCCAAGGGATTAGGTGGGAGAACCATAGTGATTGGAGTGCTCGGATGTAAAAAAAAAAAAGCCATATTCAAATCCTTGCCCTGCTGTGAAACTCACAGCAAGGCCTGGGGAAGTTCTTTTTGACTGCAACTAGTAATTTAAAGTGGATTTAGATGCTCAGATGTGTGATATCTTTGGAGAGGTCTGTTTAAATTATGAATATGAAAATGATCCATGGTGTGAGTATGTTACCTTCAGATACGTCTCTCCTCTCTTTTCATACTGGAATTGACAGTCTGTCCTCTTGAGGATAGCAATAGTAGAACCACTTACATGAATTCTTAGAGCTGTAAAGGTACAAGCAGCAGATAAGCATTATGTAATGTTATTTGAATAATTATTGAAATAAATAAAATAATAACAACAATCATATATTTGCTTAATTTGGAGTTTTATGCTCTGCCTGTCTATATGAGAGTCAAAATTAAGTCCATGACATTTCTATTATTGAAATATTTAAGACTCTACTGTTCTAGATATGTATGTTTCCAATACACAGTGGCTGATATCCTGCATTAAAAGACAGAGTTATAACCACTTCTTCATTACTATATCTTTGGATGTTACCCCAACCCAAAACCCCATTTTTTTTAAACCATGCAGCCCATCTCAATGGCCATTTCCTAGTTACCATGGGGGAAAGTGTCACAAAAATATCATTGCTGATTTGATTAATGTGGATTTAATATGATGTGTGGGAATGAATGGAAGGATGTATGGATGGAGTTGATAATTTTGGAAACACCAGTAAAAGACGAAGGCCTGCAATTACTACCTGCTTGCTAGACTGTAATTAAAAGTTGCTAATAAGAACTGAAAAGTAATCTCTGATAAGAACTGTGACAATGGTTCTTTCAAGTTAAGAAAAATGTTGACAACATTCCTTATGTTAAGAAGGAAGTCAACATAAGATCAATACCAATAAAGAAGAATCAACATCTGGCCAGGAAACTGAGATGGAGCCAGGATGGAAGACATCTAGCATTAATTTACAACTTTGGGACTACATCAGCAGAAATTCCTATAAAAGACTCAATCTAATAATGCTCAAATTGTGACAGACCTGAGAAATCTGGTCCATCCGCCTCTCTGATCCATGGGAAAGACAGAGATGGCATATTTGGAGGGTATCAGATATGCTATGGGAAAACATGATTCTGTACACTTTGGGGCTTCTTTCTCAAGGGAAGAGGGAGAAGTGTGCTTTTGGAGTTAAGATTTTGTGCAGGGAGTCAGGTTCTGCTGGATGGAAAACAGAGATCTGGTCCTTGGCATTGTACTTAGGGAAAGGATGCATTTTGGAACTATGCATTGGCAGGCTGCAGGAAAGCAGGGTCTGGCCTAACAGGTACTTCTCCAAGGAGGGAGAATGGGATATGGTAATATTTGGATGCATGACAATGAATGCATGTACATGTGTGTGAATGGTGATTGAAAATGTAATTCTTCGTTGTTTGCTTGTTAGCCATGCAGTTGTACATCCAATGTAGTTGCGTAGAGTCTGTATGTCTGTATGTTTTTCTGTAATCTGATGTACCCCCTCACAGTGGAAATTGCAATAAAAAGAATCTATGCTTTAAAGTTATTAAAAAGTTATTCATGACAAATTGGTGTCAGAAGTAGGATTTTGTTTTCCAATGGGTGAAAGTTATTCATAACAAAAGAGGTGAGCAGTGATGGGTGCAGCTCTTCCTGGAGCTGTGGAGACCTCATGAAAAGCAATTGCAAGGTGCCCAGCTGCAGGAAGAGGGGTGTATCTGTCACTGCTCACCTTCCCTCATGGCTGGGGCAGTAATGTGACTTAAAAAGTATGTCAGTTCATAAATTAAGATGATAATATAGGTCTTTTATAGATAAACCGCTGGATTGAGATGGATTAGATTGCATACGTGAACCTGTAGATTCCATTCTCGAAGCTGTGTTCACTGTATCTCCAAACAAACAATAACGAGGCATTTTAATTCCAACCACACCAGCAGCACATGGACCTAAATGACACACAAAATAGGAATTAAAAGAAAGATGTGGGATTTGTAGATGAAAGGACAGATCTTCAATGTCTAAGGAGATGTTAAAAATCAGTCTATCATTTAAACATTTTGCCCTCCAGTTTGTATATATGCATAACCACAGAAGGCTTTTTGTAAACCAAAAGTCTACAAAAGTTTTATGCCTTGCTTTTTTAAGGTGCTGTAAGCCTGGCACAGTTTTCACTGCAATGGGCTTAAAATCACTACCTCTCTGAGAAGAAGAAAGAACTGAATAGCTCAGTAATCACAGTAATTAATTTGGAATTAGATTCTCTCAGTGCCAAGACCAACCAAAATGGTACAAGCATTGTCTTAGGACTTTGGTTTTCCTCCCTCATGAATATTGTCAGGGCAAAACATTTATTTTAAATAAGCGGAATTCCCATAGGAAATCTACTGCATATTGCATCAGATCTAAAATACTTTTTTTCTTTTCTGTTCCTAGGCAAGAGCACATTTAAAAGCATTTCATGTTCTCTTGGGCTAGTTGTAATTTTGAAAATACCCCGTTCATGTTACGCTCTATCGTCTTCTCTTCTATATCCAAGATAGAATTTCAGCCTGTGACTTGGTTATGTGAAAGGGAATACCTGATGAAATTTCCTTCTACACAGCAATTAAATGTACAGGAACACTCTCCAGTCTTCATTCTGGCAAGCCTAATACCCATACATCCTGGCATTCAATTCCACGTATTGTTTTGGTCCTCTCCTCCACCTCCCTCAATTATATTATTACCAATCCTTTCAGCTTTCTGTCATCTAACAGCCCTGTGATGCAACCCAAACTGGTTCAGAGGAAGGCCAAGAGATCAACTTGGCAAATCATGTGAGTAGACCATTTCAGAGGTGACAGAGAACTATAGGCAGTTGCTTAACCTATTTACTTGGCCTTTTTTGGTAGGTTCATTATTACTCTCTATGACCGGAGTGGGAATCATTTAGCTCTTATGCTGTTGTTAAACTGAAGTCCTAACAACCCTAGCCAGACTGGTTAATAGCGAGGAATGCGTGGAACTGCACTCCAACTGCTGGAGAGGGCACGTAATTCCTTGCTGTAAAGAGTGATGAAGACGAATAATCAGTAGCATTTCAGAAAATAGTGTTGCAGAAAAATTGTGGAAGTAGGAAAGAGAACACCTCCAATTTAGGGAAAGGGTTACAAAGGAACATCAGAAGACTGTGGCTGTGTTTTGACAAACAGCTTTGAAAACGTTGTAGCTGCTACTGTCACTCTTTAGAAGAAGAAGAAAGCAGTGGGTGTACATTATTTTAAACACAATCTTGAGAATGTGTTGTCAAAGGCTTTCATGGCTGGAATCACTGGGTTGCTGTGAGTTTTCTGAGCTGTATGGCCACGTTCCAGAAACATTCAGGAGATAATACTTCTGGAATATGGCTATACAGCACGGAAAACTCACAGCAATGCACCATCTTGAGAACTTGAAATATAATTTTATAGATATACATCATTTATTAAGGATAATTTCAATGTTTTGCCTTTAGATTATATTTTATATCAAAGCACTATAACAAAGGTGGGAAATTTCGGTCCACATGCTGCATTTATTGTTTTTGGGTGTTCTTTGCTTTTGACTTTTTTGTTTGTGTTGTGTGCATACAACCCGCAAGCTACACTTTTTTTGCCCACAATATTACTCCTACTACTTCTCTTTAGAGTGGAATGTCACTCTCTTCTTTGATTTATGAACTATTGTTCCTGCATGGACAACTGTGGTACAACTTTGAAAAAGCAAAATTCCAGCTGGAACACATTGATCAGTGGTTGTTTGAATCCATCTTACATTTTTCAATTCTGCAACTAGGCCACAATTAGATTCATAAAGGCAGACCTAGCCAAGAATATTAGTGTTAGACAACATGCTTTAAAATCTATTACATGTTCTTCCAATAGTTACAACTAGTACTTTAAAACAGTAATATCCAGTGACCTCATAATATGGGTCACATCTAGAATCAAGTTAAAAATGCAGTTGAAAGATGTTGCTTAATTCCCACCCATCCCTAAATATTTGTGTCACACCATACCAGAGTGAATTCCAATTCGAATCCATATAGGAAGCCCTGGAAGATGTTGAAGCTCAAAGGAGCCCACAAAGCTCAATATATCCAGTGCCATTTTTGAAATATCCACTGCATGACAGTTGCCATTTCTCCTTGGTAAACCACTCACTACCATGTATGCATCTCCAATGGTTTCCACCTGTTGAAACACAATCAAATGTCATTGTTTTTCCCAGATAAGACATTTTGATCAGATGCAGGGAAGGCCTAGTATGTCACCCTGTTCTTTTCTGTTCACCTGGGAAGGAATACTAAACACCTTTCGACTAACAAACATGTTCATATTGTAAAATAAGTTCAGTACAGCGGGTCTGTAAAAAGATGACTTTCCCTGAAATGATGGACTGTTGTTTTAACTTTTAGGAAGTTAAAGAAAGTGATGCTTATTTTGCAGACAGAACCCCTCAAAGAAAAATAATTCTTGCCTTTCATTTTATATGCTTAAGTCTGCCAGCAATGTTGTGTTTTCTCCTACAATTCAACACAACTAATTATGTCTAGGTTGCTGCACTCTTCACAAATCTACTCACCTATAGCATTAGATATATTTAAAGGCTTCGACAGTGTGGAATGGCCAACTATCCAAATGGTTATGAACAAATTCAGAATAGGAAACAGGATTAAAAATATAATTAACCAAATGTATTCAGATAATTATACAAAGATAATAATAAATGATGAAGTCACCAGAGAGATAAAAATAACAAGAGGAACAGCCAAGGATGTCCTATGACTCCCATGGTAATAGAACTATTAGCCAATGTAATAAGGAAAGATAATGAATTAGAAGGTATAGGAACGAAGTTAGGAAAAGTTAGTTTATTTGCAGATGACACGTTGCTAATGATAAAGGCGATAACGAAGAAAATGGAGATAATTAAGAAACACTTAACAGAATGTGAATGGGTGACTGGATTGAAGATGAATTGGAATAAACCAGAAGCAATGCTATTTAACTATACTAGGCAGGAGGAGGAAGAATTTAGAAAGTAAACAGATATAAAAGATATGAAAATATATGTGAAAAAGGATATAAAATACCTTAGAATAACCATAACCAAAGATTTAAAAGCTATAGAAAGAAAGAAAAACTTAGAAGAACTAAGGAAAGCTTTAAAAAGGAAAGCTATAGAAGGGAACTTAAAGGAATATAAAAATTTACAATTATCATGGTTTGGTAGAATAGCATTAATAAAAATAAAAATCTACCTAAAATAATTTTTTGTTGAATGATTCCATTAAAAAATTGGAAAAAATAAAATAAATGGCAACAAATGATAAATAAATATTGTAATGGGAAAAAGAACAGACTAAACAAACAACTCTGGTACTGAATATAAAAAAATATGAGGCAAACCAACTAAAATATGTAGCAGAAAAGATGATGAATAGAGAGTTCAGAATGGATGGAATCTGGGAATGAAGGAATTGAGTGGATAAAGGACAATATATTGTTTAAGTAAATTTTAAAGAAAGAGACTAAACTAAATAGATTGGAAATATATTATTAATATAATGGAAATATGAAACAAATATAAAAGACACCTAATTAGTAAGAATTCAGTATCAACACCAATAATAATGGAAAAGGATTTCCCATAGGAATTAAAGGAAATATTAGATAAAGAATTTGAAAAAAGGGGAATTAAAAAGGGTAGGAAAATGGATGGAACGAAAAAGTGAGAGATGTAAAAATGAGAGATGAACTGAGAGGAATAAATATTTAATGGCTCCACTGAATCCAATTAGAAAAATGAAATAAAAATTAGTGGATCTGAAACAAAACTGGGAAACAAATAACACAATTTAAAGAAATAATACTAAAATGATTAAAAAGAGAAAACAAGAAACAAGTAAAAGGAACAAGTAAAATATATAAAATATTAATTAAGGACATGGGGGTGGGGGAGACTAACATTAAGAGAATTATGGGAGGGGGAAGTAGGAATAAAAATAACTGAGAAAGAATAGGAAGAGATATGAAAAGCAAGACAATTAAAATATGTCAATTAGAATAAAATAAAATAATTATAAAGTAATTTGGAAGTGGTATTAACACTGAGAAAAATAAACATTATAAACAACAGCTATAATGAAAAAATGTTGGAGAGTGTCAAGAAACTGGAACATATGGGATTGTAAATAAGATTTTGGGGAAATGGTTATAAGGGAAATAGAAAATATTATGAATATAGAAATTAGAAGGAATCCAGCAGACATTAACAGACATGCTTTTAGCAGCAGCTAGATTATTAATATCAAAATATTGGAAAGGGGAAATGACAATACAAATTCATGAATGGTATAAAGAAGTCTGGATAATGGTGTTGAATGATAAACCAACATCAAATTGAAAAATGAAGACGGGACTATGGAAAAATGACTTTGAAATTATTTGGAGAAGATTTTTAGAAAAAATATTGAAAAAAGAAGGTGGAAATTTACCTCCACATGAAGAACTGAACTTTTGGTGGGATTTTAGAAGAAGAGATGGCTCTGGAGAAGGGGAGCACAGAGATGAAAGAGAATAAAAGGGGAGATGTACGGTTATAAGAATGGTGAACTTGCATTTAAATAACTGTAAAAATAATTTATTAAAAACAACTCCCTCCCCTGAAAAAAAAAAAACCCAAACAAATCTACTCACCTTGTAAACATCATGATGGTCAAGAATGTGATCAAAATTCTTGTAGATATCATTAAGCATGTCTACCACTTCCATTGGAGTGCTGTATTTACAGATTGTTGTGAACCCCACAATGTCACTGAAGTAAATTGTGACTTCTTCAAAGAGTTCTGGCTCTACCAATCCAGTTTCTTTCAAAGACTTTACCACAGGACTAGCAAAAGAGAAAAGAAATGTCTTGGGAAGGCATCTTCTTAATTTCAAAATGTATTTCGAAAAGCTTTGTAACTTTGCATGGTGGCTAATATCAAAATCGTTATGTTTCAGGTGTCCAATAGTGATCTGAATGGAGACTTGGAAGCTGAGGAGTTAGTAGAGAAGACACAAGATTGGATCATATTTCTTGGCTGACCAAACCTGATGCCTTCAAGATGATGACCCAATGCTTGTGAATATAGGCCATCTCTGTAACAACCTTGGTACATCTTGAGACTAGCCACAGCAATGGTGAAAGTTGTCCTTCACCAGGATTTCCAAAACCAGTACATCAGCACCAGATGGGAGGCTGGTAGGAGTTCCTGGAGAAGGGAGCAGATTCCAAGCTTAATCTCCTTGGTAAGAAGGAGAGATGCTGTGTAAAAAGCCCAGTATTTCCTAGTCTTTCCCTAAGGAGTCACCTTAGAAATTCAAACTTGGCCTCTTGAAAAATAATTTGCATGTTACATTGGGGAAGATAAAAGCAAGTTTATATTTCAAGTATATTATCATGAAAAACCAAGAAGCTGAGTTATCTTGTTTTTGTGCAGCAAAGTAATATATGAAACTGTTCCAAAATTGAGAGGTTAAAGGAGTTTCTGTTAAATTACTTGGAACATTTATGGGATCATTTAGGTCATAGTGTCTAATTATGTTCTCTGGAGACATGAAAAAGATTAATCTGTAAATCTTGTTAGAGAGTTTCACCCAATGATTTTCATGTCTGGACTCCACAGAGTAATTGCCACAAGTCCCTGCACTCACCCTGGGAGAAGCATGAAGTTAAGTCTGTCTGCTCTGTCTCGTTCTGCTTTGTAAAGTTTGGTCCTCTCTTCCACTAAATGCTCCAGATTTCTTGAATATAGCTGTAGACGTCGGATTAAAGTGTCCATGTAGCTTTCATTGGTTTGGCTGTGATAGTTGCTGAAGAAGAAAAAAAGGAAATTCAGAATTTATGAAGCCACCTTTCAGGACTGATGGGAAAGAGAAGCAAGTGAAAATTAGTTCTATATTTGACCAAAATGAAAAAAAAAAAAAACCTGTACTCTTCCTTGTAGATTATGATTCTAGACTGGCAGTATTCATTCATTAAGAAAAGTTTTAAACTTCATAGCTGGGTTCTGAAAGTCATTATAATCTTGTTATTTCATGTTTCAAATTTTTATATAATTTTTTAAAAAAACTCTTTTCTTGTGTGTGTGTCAGGAGCGACTTGAGAAACTGCAAGTCGCTTCTGGTGTGAGAGAATTGGCTGTCTGCAAGGACGTTGCCCAGATGACACCCGGATGTTTTGATGTTTTATCATCTTTGTGGGTGGCTTCTCTCATGTTCCTGAAATGAAGAGCTGGAGCTGATAGAAGCTCATCCATGCTCTCCTCGGATTCGAACCTGCGACCTGTCGGTCTTCAGTCCTGCTGGCACAAGATTTTGACCCATGGCGCCACTCTTAAAATGAATGTAGATAATAATTTGGGGTAGACAAGTATATATTTTCCAAAGGGAATTTTGCATCGTTGACATTTACATTTGGTAACAGCAATTTTCATTTTAACCTTGGGAAACTGCCGTCTTTTTCCCCTACTAACTTGTAGCACTGAAATCAATGGTTTTTTTAAAAAATCTGTCCCATCTTTCAAGGAGCTTAGTGTAACATTTATCACCCTATCCCCTGGTATTCTATAATTTTCATGACTTTATCCTCACTTATATATATATATATTTATATGTATATGTATACATACATACATAGTTGGGGCAAAATAATATTTATCTTTGTGCTGACATAAAGACATAAGTACCACCACCCCCTTTTTTACCCAAATATCTTTGCAAGAGTAGTTTCAATTTTCTTGAAATCTGGCCTCCTCTCTGGATCTTCCTCCCAGCAGCTTTTCACAAGAAGATATACCTGGAAATTCACAAATACAAAACAGACTAGTTATGTATTTTTTTAATTCCCAAGACCCCTCGCAGCCCTTTCCTCCCCTTCGTCTTCTCTTTCAGAAGCAAAAAGTGAAGGAAAGACAAGAAACATTTGGATCCCAAAAGGGTTGGCCTTGGTCAGGAGGGGATGGTGGAAGGGAGAGAAAAAGTGTATCCATTAGACCCCATATTACCTACTCCTAATATAGCATCCTAGAGCTGGAAGAGACCCCAAAGAGCCATGCAGTCCAACTCTCTGCCATGCAAGAAGGCACAATCAAAGCACTCCTAATAGACAGCCAGCCTCTGCTGAAAAGCCTCCATCACACTCCCAAGACAGCCTATACCACTCTCCAACAACTCTCAGGAAGTTCTTCCTAATATTTTCAGTCAAATCTCTTTCTCTGCAATTTGAACCCATTGCTCCCTGGTCACTAGAGCAGCAGAAAGTCAGCCCCTCCCCCCCCATGGGACACCCTTTTAAATCTTGAAACATGGCTCTCGTGTTCCCTCTTTACCTTCTTTTCTCCCAGCTAAACATCCCCCAGGAAGAAAGGAGGAAGGAAAAATAGAAGGAAGGAGGGAAGAGATGGATGCATGGATGGATGGAGAAAGAAAGGGAGAGAGAGAAGGAGGGAGGAAAGAGGGAAGGAAGGAAGGATGAAAGGGTGGAAGGGAAGATGGAAGGAGAAAGGAGGAGGGAAGGAAAGGAAGGAGGAAGGAAGGAGAGAAGGAAAGATAGGATGGTGAGAGAGAGGAGGATCTGAGCAAAGAGCCCAAGGGGCCGCATCCGGCCCCTGGGCCTGGGTTTGCCCATACCTGGAGTTATAGCCCAATGACCTAATGGTTCCTTGCTACCTTCCCTTGACATATAGTCATGATGAGATCAACTGTGCTTCAAATTATTTATTTAAAACATTTATATAAAACATTATAAAATTTCAAGCCCAGAAAAACCTGCACTCATACATTATTTTCTGAATCTCAGGAAATTTCCCCCATCTTTATAGATACAAACAGACACAAAAACACATTTATATCTACACACTGTTCAACTGCTGTGTATAGCAAACAAAACCCCATGGATTTTATGCCATTTATTGGGGCATAAACCTATTGTTTAACATAATCAAAATGTTGAGCATTTCTTTTCTTTTGGTTTTAGTTACCAAAGTAACTTCTGTCCCTTGTCTTCCCCAGATACTGCATGGCAGGCCCGTAGCCGGGGGGGGGGGGGGGGGGGGGCTTGAGGGGCTTCAGCCCCCCCCCCCCGAAATTCTCAGGGTGGTCCGCAAGAAGGCCTTACTGGTACATTATTTAAACTGTTATGTTTATTCATATCATGATCTGATCATCATGCTCAATATATTCCATATGCATGGAGGTATTGGGATAATGATACAAAAGGTTTGTTAGGGTAGATCCTGAGCCCCCCTCCCCCCGAATCAAACTCAACCTCCCCCGAATCAAACTCAGCCCCCCCCCACAAAAAAATCAAAATCCTGGCTATGGGCCTGATGGGGATATTGGGATAATGATACAAAAGGTTTGCTAGGAAAGATCCTGAGCCGCTGCCCCCCCCCCCCCGAATCAAAATCCTGGCTACGGGCCTGCTGCATGGGTATGTAGTGATACACCATAAACTGTTAATACGACCAGATAGTATATATGTAGCAAGAGCTGTAATGTGGTGTGTTTTGCAGAATGGAATATATTTAATCTCATTTAACTGCAGTGCATTAGAGTTGCTGACAGGACACTTTTCCACGCTGCAAACACTGAAATAAGAACATGCCAAACCTACTGGTTTCAACTTGTGGATGAGTGCTATCACTCTCAACTGATCATGGGTTTATTTCAGTATGACCTTACTTCCTGTTCCTTTTCTCCCTCAGTCTCCAGCAAAAGATCTGGTCGGAATGGTCTTTGTCCCTTGCCGCTTTCTACTCTGTAGAGTTTTTCTGAAGGAAGAGAAAAAAGTGAAATGCTTAGACAATTCAGTACATAAATAAATAAATCATGAAAAGCAGAATCACCAAGAAAGTAGGACATGTCAAGGCAATATGTTTTAAGCACAGATGTGCCCAAATCATAGTACTGGATCTCTTTAACTCACATATTTCTACATTGTGTTTTTTTCTATTTGTGAAGCATGCCAAAATAGAGGAAAAACTGAAAAGTAGTTTGTAGTTTAGGGAGGAGTTTGTAGTTTAGGGACGAGCCCCGCCACCATCTCCCCAAAGGGGACTCGAGGCAGCTAACATGAGGCCAAGCCCAGAATTGCAGTACAGCAAAATAAAATTCAAGAAGCAAAAATACCATCAAAATAAATACATGAAATAACAAAATAAAATAGTTTCAAAATAACATGATAGAAATGGAGAAGAGGACAAGAAATGGGAATTTCAGTGCTAGACAGGGGAGGGAAGCTAATCTGAAAGTGATATGTTTAATATTTTATCAGGGGAGAGTCAATTTTGATGTTTTATACTGTTTTTGTGGATGGCATTGGATTGTTGCCAACACTGTGAATCGCCCTGAGTCCCCTTGGGGTTGAGAAGGGTGGTATTCAAATTCTGCAAATAAATAAATAAATAATATGTAGAGAATCTAAACTGCTAGTCGAACAAAATCATGTTGATTTAATAAAAGGGTTAGTCTATAAAACTGAAGGAGGTGAAAAAGAGAGAGAAAAGGAAAGTATTCTGCATCAGTGTGATTGCCTTAAAGCAGCAAACCGGAAGTAGTTGGAACTATTAGCAAGAGGAAAGATAGGGGATCTGAAAAGATGGGCATGGGGGAAGTCATGGACAGGATGGATGAAAAGAAAGACAAGACTCAAATTTGAAATGAAATAGAAAAAGCAATGTTTGGTTGGACTTAGGATATGAGATAGTTGTAGATATAAGACCATGGAGAATTGGACTTGATAACAATTTTGAAAAGGAGTTTCAAACATGAAATTTGATACAAAAATTGGACTTTAAATAAAAAGGACAGTTTAGAGCCAATGGAATATAAAGATAAAATGAGTAATGTTATATAATACATAATAGATTTATAGTTTTAATTAATATGGATTGATACTATGTAATTATGTCAGTAAGTTTTTAATATTAAATATTAGAAAATGGAATATGACATGATTTAATGTGATGTAATGGCTTATAATGTGATAGGAATATAGAAAATGATTTATATTAACCTCTGGAAAAGAAAAAAATGCTATTGAACAAATGTTATAGAGGATGGCAAGAAGAGAACTGTTAGATATGAAGTTTGATTCTCTGGAAATCTTGAAAAAGAAACTGAAAAGCTGCTTGCTTTCTCTGGAGATCCTGTATTAAGGAAGGGGTTGGACTCAATTCATGAAGTTGCTTCCAACACTATGATTTTATGAAAGTTCAGAAGCATTTGTTGGGCAAATTGAATTCAATTGCCCACATCTTCCTTGCCACTGGTGCTACTACCTATTCACATCTCCTTTTCTGTTGAGAACTACTTGCACCAAATGTCTAGAAAAAGAAAGCAAGGAAAACTGCTCATCCTTGCTCTTTCCATAGTATGCATTCTTCCAGAGGTGCTGATGAGTCTCAGCAAGGAAGATGAGAGTTGAGAAGTTTTCCTATAGGGGAGAAGCCTCCACAGGTGCCTGTGGAAGACTATACACTACAGGAAGTTACTACTGATTTGACCCCTTCTGATAATTTAGATCCCGGGCAGCAGCCAAGTTGCAAACAACTCCTCTGTTGCGCCAGCTCCACTGGCTGCCAGTTTGCTTCTGGGCACAATTCAAAGTGCTGGCTTTAGCCTATAAGGCCCTAAATGGTTTTGGTCCAACTTATCTATCCAAATGTATATCTCCTTATGAACCATCTAGGACATTAAGATCTCCTGGGGAGGCCCGACTCTTGTTCCCGCTTTCCTCGCAGATGCGTTTGGCGGGGACAAGAGACAGGGCCTTCTCAGCAGTGGCCCTTCAACTGTGAAACACCCTGCCTAAAGATATAAGATTGGCTCCCTCCCTCTTGACTTTTCGAAGAAAGGTGAAAACCTGGCTTTTTGAGCAGGCCTTCCCAAACACAGCATAGCTATATGAAATAATGGAATTACTTGATGACTCAATTGAACAATGACTTGATATGAGACGCCCATGACAATGTTTTAAGGCTTGTACAGTTTTATATTTTTATATTGTATGTTAATGTTTTTAATAGTATTTTATGATTGTTATACTTTTTAAGTGTTATGACTGTTGAGGCATCAAATTGTTGCTGTTTGTAAACTGCTCCGAGTCGCCTTTCGGACTGAGAGGGGCAGTATATAAATATAGTAAATAAATAAATAAACAATCGGCATTGCCAAGAACAACTTTGTGGACCACCCTCGGAACCTGTTGGGGGGTGCAGAAGAGTCCCTTCAATAATAAATAAGTAGCAACATGGACTTAGCCCTTTATTTATGCACTTTTTACCTTTATGATCCCGGCAATTGTTAGTGTAGAAAGTTTCTTTACGAAGTATGATCTCCTGTGCTATAATTCCATAGCTGTACACATCACCTTTCTGAGAAACTCCACCATGACGGAGGTGTTCGGGAGCAGTCCAGAGATCTGGGGAAAAAGATGGGGGGAGGGGGCAATGGAAGGAGGGAGAAGAAAAGAGCAAATAATACTAGTTGACAGCTGTGACCTTTATTCAAAGATTCATCTGATCCCATATTGCTCTGATCTGGAGTCTTTCCAGATGAAATGCTCCTCATGTTACCAATGAGAAAGAACCATGTAATCATTTTTTCTCTCCTTCCTTCCTTATTTTTTCATTGTTTCTACAGTTTTTTATTCTAGTAAGGAAAAGACAGAAGAAACAATGGAAAAATAAAAAAGGATTTTCATGAGTCTGAAGCCCCATAAAATTAAGTGAACTAAGCAATGATGAAGTATTACTTTTTCAGAGCTGCTTCGTAGTTTATTAAAGATCTTTCTTTGTCTAATTACTATCATAATGCAAAGCCTATTGATCATCCAGTAAAATAATTTGTTACAACAGGCTGAGTAGAAAGAACATGAGGAAAAGATATCTGTAATGAAAAATGTAGTTAGTATTTATATTGCAATATTTCTGATTTTGTTTTTTTAAAATCCTTAGACTTATAGTACAGTATAGTAAAGTATAGTACAGTAAATTTTATTGATTAGCCCTTAGGTCGTATCACAATACCAAACAAACAAAAAAGCTTGATAAGACTTGATTACACTCTATATAGTAAGTTAAATAAAATACTTACAACAATAGAGTAAATAAATCTAATAAAATTGAATATGTACATCATATTTCCTTATAACCCCTACAATTTACTCTGATCAGCCCCATATATGTGGTTCTCAAATGTATTGTTGTGCTAAAATACAGAGTTGTTTTATATGTTATTTTTGGGTCTTGGTCACACATAAAATATGTTATTCTGATGTGAAATTCCTAATGAATTGTCTATTTCATATATTGACCAAGGTACAAGTCTCTCACCTTCTGATATAATTTACAATCAAATAATATGTGTGCTATATTCTCAATTTCAGGTGCTCCTCAGATACAAATCCGTTCATTATAAGAGATGCTGTTAAATCTTCCATATCTGACCATTGTATCAAGCTAATCAAATCTAGATCAAGTGAATACCTCTCTAAAATGTTTTGGCATTTGAATGTTTAGGTAGTTGGCAATTTGAAAGGTAAATTAAGATTATATCGGCTCAGCCATTTTACGTTGGCAACCTTACTGATGGTGGCTATATCTATTTGTGCTTCTATATCCAAAATTCTTTGTAAAGCACTCTTTTTTACTCAGTCTCTTAAGGCACAGGAGACAGGGAGACTGCAACTTCTTATATAATTTGTCAGTTGCGTAATCCAAGAGGTCTGTAGTTGGGATTTTATTTGTTCTAATAGGCACAATTTTAGGAGTCTATCAGGCTCCATTACATTGATTTTACACCAGTAATTATATGCTCTAAGTTTAGACTGTGCATAGATTGTATACATTTCTAGTTCAGCTCTCACTGCAGCTGAGGTTCTTTTATCTACTCACAGTATGCCTCTCAAGTGTTGTGATTGTGCTTGTTCTATTACTGAGTTGGAACTTAAACACCATACTTCTGCAGTATATAAAAGCATAGGTGTAACCTTAGCTTTATATATTTTAATTATTGGGATTAGGTTACCTAGGTAGCTATGCGTTTTTAGTTTAAGTATTAGATTCAGGGGAGCCTTTGCTGTGAGTTCACTCCTTTGATGAGGAAAAGTCCAAGAACCAGTCTTCGAAAAGTTACTCAAAGATATGGGAAGGTGTTTACTTGTTCTATTACCTCACCATCTAATTGCCATCTGTGTCTCTGCTGTCTTTCCAAACACCATAATTTTTGACTTTTATTTGTTAATGATTAGAGAGTTATTCTGGCAATAGGAACTGGGTCTTCTTAACAACCTACGAAGTCCAACTTACAAATGTGATAGTAATATCATATCATCAGCATATAACAAAGTGTTACAGTATGTATTTAGAACTTTAGGCATATGAGCTACAGAGTCCTTCATTACTCCAGACAGGTTATTGATATAGATATTAAATAATATTGGTGCTAAAATGCACCCTTGTCTTACCCTTTTTAATGTATTGATCTTGCTTGTCATAACTCCATTTGCCCCAAACCATATTCTCAAACAGGTGCTTGTATATAAGACTTTGATCAGTAGCAACAGTCTGGATTCAATTTTGAGGGTGAACAACGTATTCCATAATAGTTCTCTGTTCACCATATAAAATGCTGCAGAGAAGTCAATAAAGGCAGCATACGAGTGTCTCCTCTTAGAGGCGTATTCAGCAACCAAGTGATTCAGAATAAAACAGTTATCGATAGTAGATCTGTTTTTTAAAAAACCTGTTTGTTCTTCTGCAAGGATATTTTTTTTGTTTACCCAGCTTTCAACTCTGCTCAATAGGAACCTAGCATAAATTTTGGCGACGTTATTTATTAAACTAATAGGCCTGTAACTACTGGAATCCTTTTTATTCCCCTTTTTAAATATATGGGAAGCATTTTATAGTTCTATAGTGGAAAAATGCCATTGCACGCATGCATTATAATTAAAAAATTGAAAGAGAGAAAAAAGAGAAGAGAAATATTTTTCCTATTATATATCACAATTTAACAGAAACCCAAGTGGCAGTAGGAATAATTTTTGTAGCTGGCACAAGGAATTATAGTAAAAGAATCAGTTGCATTTCTTGTGTACCTTTTTTTGGTGGCAGAATAGAATTGCAGCCAAAATCAGTGATCTTCACCACCATGCGGCTATCAACAACACAGTTTGTAGATTTCAGGCGCCCATGGAGCTCGGTTTTGCTTGAATGCAGGTAGGACATCCCCTGTGATATGAAACGAGTGACAAAGGCTAGTCTGCTTTTAGTTACTTACACTACCAGTAACAGTTTGATTGTTAAATATAATCACTTGCCCTTTGACTGAAGCTGGTTCCAAAGTAGCATGATTAATACAGAAAAGGTGAACTGCTCAGCTGACATTCTAGATGAGATGTGAAAGGGTTTCATAAAATGTGGATCTATTTTAAACATAATTGCAAAATTAAAATCACATTTGGGAAACAATTTGTTTCCCAACCTATGTACTTGTTTGAGACTAAAGGTATTTCGGAAGTTATTCCAGGGTAAAATCTGAATAAGAACTAAGGTTCACTAGAGTTCCCTATATCATATAAAAAGAACTTCCTAGACTTCAGTTGTGATGTTAAGAGGAGGGAAGGGGATGAGAAATCATCATCTCTCACTAGTATATAAACAAAGAGGCCTGGTTCCCTTAACTTGCTTCAACTCAAGGAATTATGTGGTCTTCAATAATGGTTCATCACTTTTGATCAAAGAGGAAATATGGTGATGTAAATGATGATAAGAAATAAACTCTCCTTAGAATTAAAAATAAATCTTTGTTCCCAAAAGAAACTTAAATCAATGAGATCTCCATTCTGTAGAAGCGAAAAGGTAACAAAGTCAACAACACGACTCTCAGATTCCATTATTTTTCCCTGTGTTTTAATACTTAGGTGAGAAAGGGAGATCCCTCTTTGATTTTCAAATGTTACATTCCTTGATTACATTCTTTGTTTAAAATGACAGACTCTTTGGTTAAAACAACTCCAGATTTCTATTGATTTAATTGTATATACATTGAACCTGCTACTTACTGTGATAAATGGATCATAACACTGAAAAACATTTCCTGGGACAGTTTGAAAATGTTCATAGATGCTTTGAACTACATGCTTACATGAGCGTATATAAAATTAGCCCTGAAACCATCTGTGTGTCTCGCTTTGGATATTGTGAACTATTCACTAATTTCTGCTGCAGAAATAAACTTCGCTCATGTTGCTTTGTTAATTTTACAGATTTGCTAAGCAATTAACCTCACTCTTATAATAGCAGTAAGCTAATTCCAAGATTCATATTGTGATCATGCCTTCAACTTGAAATGACATTTTAAAAAACAACTCTCCAGGGACATTTTTGAAACCACAGATTCCTTCAACAGACAAAATAGTTGCAAAAAGTTGACCGAGGAAAAAGGGGAGATAATGAATTTAAGTCATATTGCTTGTATGTCATATTGAAACATTACAAAAATAAGAGATTAACTGGATAGACTCTTCAGATCCTTAAATGCCAGGAAAAGAAACATTACTTTTAATTTAAAAAATACCTAAAGCAATCATTACATGAAATATCACATGCAAAAATTCCAATACTTTAGAGGGGTAAAACATGTACTTCTTGAGTTTTAACTTGTTCCATATAACAGTATAGAACCAGAATGCAAAGGAACCTTGTAGAACTTTAGAAACTCAGAGAATGAAGTTGGTAGCATAGGTTTTCACAGACTACTCTACTTCCTCAGATACTAGTTCCACATATACTATACCAGTCTATTGGGCACTTCCTGATTTTTTTGTGTGTTTTCAGGAGCAACCTGAGAAACTGCAAGTCGCTTCTGGTGTGAGAGAATTGGCCGTCTGCAAGGACATTGCCCAGGGGATGCTGGATGTTTGATGTTTTGACATCTTTATGGGAGGCTTCTCTCATGTCGCCACATGTAGTTGATCACTAGTCAAAGAGGAACAAATGACCCACTCTCACCATGAAGAACTAACTGAAGAGTCTGGTTTAGTAAAAGCCACAATAAACTGTTAGCAACATGGTCCCAGAAAGCAGAAACTGCAATTCTACTTGCTTTTCTTATTTTACTAATACTTTTCGATTCCAGGAAGAGCTTTAACAGACCAACTCTTCCACATTTCAGATAGAATGAGGAAGAAAACTGCTGTTCTGCTACTTTCATTCTGTTCCCATTTCTCCGTCTCTTATCAAATAAAGCTGTTCAGCTCATCTTTCTATTATCCTCTAATAAATCAATTGCTGTCTCCTAAGAGGTTGGATGAGGGAAGCATTTCCCTTTTAGATTTACAGATTGAGGTAGAGCATCAGGACGCTACCCACATTACCAGTCAGCTCCTCCCTCTTATTACCCTAGCATTTCTAAGAGGTCCATAAGTGCGGATATTATCAGGAAGAACACTGAACTCTCTGAACATGCTATGCAAGTAAATGCAAAAGTCTGTGGTTAGCAATCTGGCATGGAACTCTGGAAACTCAGAATCAATTTCAAATTCTAACGAAGATGTCCTATTCAACATAATAGAAAATCTTTTAGAGCAGCCATCTACAGACAGTCCCCAAATTCTGAACAAGATAGGTTCTGTAGGTTTGTTCTAAAGTGTAATGTGTATGTAAGTCAGAAAAGGTACATTTTAAGTGTAACTCTAATTAAATGTGTGTCTGTGTACAGCTAGCATAGGGAAGGATTAACACCCCTATGGTGTTTGTTTTGCTGTCTATGCCCCATCCAGAATATTTCACATCACTTTCTGTCCCTGTGATAATAGGTTTTTGGAAAATGTGGCTTGTTGTGGAAACAAGGATTGGTGATAAGGCTTCAGTGGAGACTTCTACTACTCATGATAACTTTTTCAGGAGTGAATTTTATTAGTGATTGGTGGAGTTATAAACCAAGAAAAATAATTCCCAAGACATTTGGTAGATAGCATGGGTAACTGAGGGGTTAAACTACTCAGTACATGAAGAGGCTGGACCAGGATTGTCATATCCAGCCGGGCAACAGTGACCGGCTCAGATGTCATGTCCAGGGATGTCAACTGAGATAAGCAAAGAGGGGCAATGATTTATAAAGCTGGAACATGTGCTTGAACTCTCTCTTCCGTCTTGACCGCCTCTCTGTAACTGCAAATAGTTGGAACTAGAAATAGAGCATTTGCCACCACCGGCTCTTGGCAGAAATACAGAGTTCCAGCGTGCTTGATTTAAGAAGCACAGAGGCAGGGGAAGAGCAGCTAAGATGCAGCACAGCATGCAAGTTACAGATAGTGCTAGTATCTGTGACTGCAAAATTCCAAGGGTCGATTTGAATTCTAAGTGCCTTTTTGGGGACCCCCGACACATTTTCCTTCCTAGGGGTAGATTTCTCTCACCTCTTGTTGTCTCATCCCCATTCTTAACTATGAGTCGTTTGTAAGTCAGATGTTTGTAACTCGGGGACTGACCGTATTTAGAAGTGTAATGCATTTATTTCATTTATCAACTCATTTCTTTCATAGTGTTTAGTGGCGTATACCCAGTCGCCTTTGCTCCTCACTTTAACCTCACAATAGTTCAGTGAAATAGATTTGCTTGATTGATAGTGATTAGCATAAGATAACATGATGAGTTAATGAGTGTGGTTTTAAAGCCAGACATTTCCACTTCACATTGGACACTACACAACATCATCTCCTGTTTAAATTTTTGTAATGCGCTCTACATGGGGCTGTTTTTGAAGGGGGAGTTTCAGTTGATCTAAAGAACAGCAGGCAGATTGTAAACTGGAGCTGGCTACAGGGAATACACAACTTTAGTGTTGCAACAGCTCCACTGGATGCCAGTTTGTTTTTAGGCATATTGGTGGAAACATGACAGAGGCTTTTTTGGATGGCTTATCTCTGCTCTGGAACCCCATGGAGAGGTTAGACCGGCACCCCCTCACTATCTTTCCATAGGTAGGTGAAGTCCTTTTTGTTTTGGCAGGCCCTTGTGGGTTGACTGCTCGAAGCAAAGGGCCACTCATCTTTTGTGCCACCCTTCTTTTTATGTGTTGTTTTTATGGTTGCACTTTTAATTGTTTTTAATCTTATTGATAGTTTAATTATATTTTAAAAAATTCTAAAACAATTTTTTTCTGTTTTTCATTTTATAAGTCACCTTGAATCCCAGTCTGGGGAAAAGATGAAATATAAATAAATATTTTAAATATACTTCTAACAACTGTAATTATATTTTTCACCATATATTACCACTACCATAGGTTAAATCCCTAATGATCTCATCAGACTCTAATCTTTTTGCATCTTCAGATCCTGCTTTCATGGAAGGACCAGCCTGTTTCTCTTCTTTCCCTACTTCCATAGTCACACTCTGATTTTGTTCTTATTGTTGACCACCTATAACAGATAGCAGGTGCAATTGTTTAAATGAGATCTGAATCTCATCCTTTAAACCTCTTTTCATTTTGCTTCCTGTACTGCACACCTCCCACATTGGAGATAACAAATGAATGTTCCTCTTTTAAATGGCTTTGTCGTGGCTGTCCAATTACTTAACTGTTGCTGTCCAATTACTTAACTACACAGGTGTACATTTTGAATTTATATCTATTTGGTACTGCTAATACTTCTCCCAAAGGTTTCTGTGAATGTCCAGTTCGGCGAAAAAGCTGCTGTGGATTTCCTGTTAAAGATCCATGTCTCTGTCACCAAACTCCAGTTCTCAGACTGCTTCTACACTGCCATATAATCCAAATTATCAAAACAGATAATCCATATTATCTGCTTTGAACTGGATTATATGAGTCTCCACTGTCTGAATTTTATAAGACTGTGTAGTAGGGGCTTCAGTAGGACCATTATTTATTTGTTTGTTTATTTATTTACTTTATTTATACCCCGCCTTTCTCACCCCAAAGGGAACTCAAAGCGGCTTACAAACTCTGGCAAAAAAATTCAATGCTATAACATAAACAAAACAATAAAGCAAGCCATATCAAACTATAAAACAGTTAACACATAAACAATTAAAATGCATGACACATTAAACATTAAAAACATTGCTCTCCTTTGCCTAAGAATCTAGCTCCTTTTGCCTTGTTTCCTTTCTCTGAGCCCTTTTAGTTTCATCTCACATATATGTAATGGTTCAAATTAGTGCTTGAGTTTCCTTGTATTTCCTCTCATTCTTTTTTCCCTTTTTCTTGTGTGATATGTCTTTAATATTATAATCCTGTAGTTAGGTATCGTAAACTAATCTGGGAACATTTGGGATTGGACAGCAGGGTAATAATGCTTTAATTAATTGAAAATGCATTCAATGATGCTAAACAAAAAAAAAATCGGCCAAAAGAGACTAAGCAGACTTTTTGAAGAGTAATCTTACTTTCCATCAAATGAAAGAGAAGAGAAGGCAGTTGATAAACAGCTAGTCAGCCATTCTTTCACAGGGATATTTCCCATTTCTTGTTAATATAATACAGGAAGTTCCCCAGTTACAAACATCTTTACAGGAGGTGAACAGTTGGGAAAGAAATATCTTTAACAGTGACCAGACTAGTTCAGCGACCACAGAAACTGCCAGGTTGAGAATCCCTCATCTGAAATGCTTGGGACCAGAAATGTTTTGAATTCTGGATTGATTTTAAAGTCCCTGAGTTACAAACATCTAACTTACAAATGATGTATAGTTAAGAATGGAGGTGAGACAACAGGGAGTGTGAGAAATCTGCCCCTAGGAAAGGAAATTCACTTCTGAGAGAGTTATCGTGAGGAAGAGGTGTCTCCACTGAAGCTTTCTCACCAATCCTTGTTTCCACAGCAAGCCATTTTTTTCAAAATCCAATTATCACAGGGACAGAAGGTGAGGTGAAATCTTCTGGACAGAGACACAGACGGCAAAACAAACACCACAGAGGTGCTAACCCTTCTCTGTGTCATCCAAAGCTTCTATCTATATCCATCTGTCTGTCTGTCTGTCTGTCTGTCTGTCTATCTATCTATGTCTATATTTATTTGGCTGGAGTTACACTTAAAAATGTACCAACTTATATACAAATTCAACTTGTTCTGACTTACATATATATTCAAGTTAAGAACAAACCTTCAAAACCTATCTTGTTCAGAACTTCAGGACTGCCTATAGTTAGAAGCCAATCATCTATCTTGGTCAGAAGATACTTTAGTTTAATGGAAGTAACAGTGAAAATACAAAAATACATGGGGAAGTGTGGAGGAGAACAGCAACTACTACCTCATATTTTAATGGAAATTAATATAGTGAAAAGATACCTCAACTTGCATGTTCTTGTTTTTCCTGGCACACCCTCTCTTCTGGCACTTTATACATGCTGAGAAGGCTAAACAGCATGCATTACACCATCAACCCACACACCAAGATGTTAGGGACAAGAAGTGACTAGAGAGAAAGTCTTCTTCTAGATTAGGTATGGATGATTCTTATTTCATTTGGTAGGTTGAGAGCAAACAATAAGATTTGCCCTCCTCCACAAAGTTCACAGCAACTCTTGCTCTATACATTTTGTAATGCAAATTACAACCTGCATTGATCAGAATGGCATTTACATTATGGAAGCTGCCCTCCTGCAAGAAAAATTCAACATCACTTTCAACTAAAGGTTAAAGCAAAATAAAATAAAAGGCTCTTTTTTATCATCATTTTGCAATATGCATTTGACTTTTATTCCAGAAAATATTGCCAGACTACAACAAAGGCCTGGGCCACCCAATTGGCTTTCCTCCAACCAAGCTGTCAAGTGTCTGCACTGGAAGAGACAGTGCCGGCAGAAATGCATGCCTCCTCCTAACCTCACTTTTTCCTTACTGAATAGCAGGCTTAGTCAGCAGGAAGATAGAAACAAATTGTGTTCCATACTACTATGAGCAACCTACTTGCACAAGGTCATAAAGAAGATCACGGGTACTTTTATTCTGTAACAGCCAGTCTTACCAAAGTGAGGAAGCAACCTCAAGCAGCAAATTTAATGTACCATTACTTAAATAATAGCAACAATAATAGTTATTATCATTCTTACATTTTAGCTATCAGGAAAAGGAAGAGAGATGCTTGCAGGGTTATCTGCCTCAAGTGCCAAAATAATTTGGTTTGTTTGCAGGACTGTGTAATATGAATTTGAGAGAACAGGCCTCATGCCGCAAAATATCTTTGGCCATGTGTTAAATACATCAGTGAGAAACTGTCAAAGGTTTTGGGCCCACAATGCCTATCCCAGAAGATTCGAAAGGACTGCACACCCCAACAATGGCTGAGATACTACATGATCACAAATAACCATGATAACATATTTACATCTTCATAGTGTCATTCTCCCAACCCCAACTTTTCAGCCTGGCAGTGCCCCAACCAAAGGGTTTTTGAAGCTTTTGGAAAATAGCATTCATAACCTTTTGTGAAAACCAGGAGTCTTTTGGAAAGGTACGACCTCGTTAGAAATCATAACCTTTTTTAAAAAATGTGATCTTCCAGAGAAGAGTTAAAATCTCATTTGTGTCAACATTCTCCTTAGTGGTAAATATCCACTAGTATTCGTGCAAGGCAATTAGATATCTCTTTGAACTGTTAGAAACAAAGATATGCCAATGCACAAAAAACAGCAGTTTCAGAAGTGTTAGTTTCAGTTGCCCAAAAACGTCTAATCTTCCTTAAAACATCTTAGTTTAAATCATGCTCTCAAGAGACAAAAACTAAAGTAGTCTTCTTTAATAGTAACATATCTGGTTTACTCACAAACTTCATGTATTCGGCATCCAGATATATTGCTTATCAATCCAGTTACAGATAGGATTTGAAGTAGTTTCTCTGTGCAGATAGCGCAGGGCATCTTTCTTATAATTAACAGTCTATAGCAGGCATGGGCAAACGCCATTCCTCCAGGTGTTTAGGACTTCAACTCCCACAATTCCTAAAAGTCAGTAGGTTGTTAGGAATTGTGGGAGTTGAAGTCCTAAACACCTGGAGGAACAATGTTTATCCATTCCTGTTCTATAGCCTTAAGCATCTCTCTGTTCTGAGAGTCTAATGGAGTCTCTTCTCTAAAGCATTCTGTTTCTACTGACTTCTAAAAGCATACTATTTCTAAAATGGAGTCTGACTCCTGAATAGTCCCAGATCTGATCTCATGGTCTGCAGCCCCTCCCACAGCATAAAGCCAAACTACATACCAATACATATACAATACAGTAAGCAATCTGAATTATATGCATAACAAATAACTAGTATAGGAGGCTTGTGGAAGGTTGCTATTTCCAACAGAAGCACCATAAATTTGGGATGCAGGGAAATGTCTGCACTGCTCTCCTCATTGTAGGGCACATTGCAAACAGTCAACTGGAGAGATGCTTTGGAGTCTTGCCTCATTTTGGTGCAATTTGAGATGAGGGGGGCATTTTTGCCCTCTCCGGTTCTATACACATAGAAAATGCACAGTAGAATCAAAAAGGAAAGGATGCCGGCCAGGCAGGTCTTAAAATGCATTATGCAACGATTCTGGCTTTGCTATCTGAACAGATTAATTCAGGAAAGTAGGGAAAAGACCAAATTTGGACTGCTTGCAAAATTCCATTAGCAAGGATAACAACTTCATAATAAAAACCTTCATTTTGAAACAGCCTGGGAGGAATGACAAAAATATTATCTTTACTATTTGGGGTGGGGAGGCTGAAAGGTAACTCCCTGCAAACAGAGTACTTAAATGGCTTACTAGCTGAAGCTGATCTGTAAAAAAAAGATATTTAACAGAACTTTAAAGTTACTTTTAAAAAACATTTGTTAATTGTTACTCATTACAGTATATTAAATTTCTTCATTGCAATTGCTTAATTAAAAAGTTATTCAAAGATATTACTCATTTAAAAAGATATTCAGTGGTGTTACTGTTTAAAATCATTTATGTTTATTTATTTTATTTACAGTATTTATATACTGCTTTTCTCACCCCTAGGGGGACTCAAAGCGGTTCTTGTGTTTTTGTTACTTTAAAAAAAATCTGAAAAATTGATAAGAAAAGGGGATCAAATATTTTAAAATTCTTATCCAACTGCTTTTAAAATTGCCTTACTTTAAATGTTACTATGAAATGTTACTTGTTGCCACTTGTTACATTTATTCTGAATGGTAACTGTTGTGCTTTAATTACTGAAAAGCGCAACTTATAACTTATAACTTATAACAGGTAATTATGTTGCTTATAGTTCACTACTTCTAAGCTCTAATATTCAACTTACATTTTAAAAATGCAAGCATATTCTCAATTAATTCACAACTGGTACCCATCTACTTACCTTGGCAATATCATACATAACAGAAATTTTAAATTCCCAATCCATGAAAGTGACATCAGGATAGGAGATTTTATCATTTAAGACATCCTGAAATGAAAAGAAATAAAGAATTATGATGAGATTCAAAGTTGTAAAAAAAACAAAAGAATCTGACTCTGTTGGACTGAAAGAAAAATCTCAAAAGTCAGGTACAGTAGAGTCTCGCTTATCCAACATAAACGGGCCAGCAGAACATTGGATAAATGAAAATGTCAGATAATATGGAGTCTCCTGTTACCCATTTGACGCAGCGCTAGACACCTAGAATATTAACAACAGGAACTCAAAGGGTTAAAGAAAGGCAAAGCCTCAGGGCTAGAGCAGCCTAGGAGGAAGTGCCTGGATGCAGAAGAGGAGTGTGGAAATCACAGAGAAAAGGAGAGAAGATGCTTCTGCTTCCGGTACTGCCTCTTTCCCCCCTTTCCTCCCTCCTCCTCCTCCTCCTCCTCCTTGTATTGCCTTTTTCACTTATTGGGAATGGAGAGTTAGGGAGCGCTCCTTTAAATGAAGGGGAAATGCTGAAGGAAAAGGGGGTGTCGGATAATAGTATTGGATAAGACGGAATGTCAAACAAGCAAAGTCCAAATAAGCAAAACTCTATTGTAATATGTTTCTTAGGAGCAACAAAAATGCCACAAAATAGTGAACAAGATTTCATCTTCTTCTGAAGTCTTTATTAGAATCCAAAGTAAGCAAAACAAGGGAGTGGGATAAAAGGCAGATGGGGGTGGCAGATCTAGATTAGAAGTACAATGGGGCAATCCCCCATCTCTGTATACTATGCTGCCGACACCCTGGCACCTCCAAATTTGCTCTTAAAAGCTAATTATTGAAATGTACCTTGTCTAATTTGGCCCTGAAAAACTTGAAAGTTCAGAAGGCAACAGAAACAATGAAAGACACTTCTGGGACTATTAGTGCTTGTCCAGACAAACAAGATTTTAAGAGCTGGTTCTCAGATATAAGGAATCTAGATAGCCTCCCTCAGGTACAGAATATTTGGCTTTCCATTACCCCTTACCACTGGATATGATGGCATTATTGTTGGAGCATGCAAGGAATCAGTTAATGTGTGTGTGTCAAATGCAAAATAAGATGCATGAAGCTGATTGGTCGGACAATGCCTGGGGAGTTGGCTAAGCCTAGAACTTTTGGATACTGTTAGATTTTTGTTCAGGCTTGAGCTATGTAAATGCAGAGAGACACAATGTTTGAAGAAAGCAGCAGAGAGAGACACAGTTTGGAGTGTACTCACACTTCATGAGCTGCTGAAGGAGTTTATCTACATGGACAGAGAAAGACCATTTTTAAACCTCTCATAAAAGGAGAGTTGGTGTAAGTGATCACATTGTACATATGTTGTTCTGGATTTACGAAGAGTAAACTACTTGTTTTATTATTCATTTGCTTGGCATATTTTCTTTCTCTGGCAAGGCAGTGTGTGGGCTGATCAAACGTGAACTACACATGGTTTATTTTTACATTATGCCACAATTATGCCCCCTCAATTATTGCATTTCAACAACAACTGGGGAGGCTACACGTTCTCCATCCCTGCTCTAACTGCTCATTTAGGGTACATTACTCTCTAAGCTAATTACTGTTTTCCCTGATGCTTCCTACCAAAGTAGGGAGAGGGCTTTTAAAAGAAAAGAAAAACAGTTTATTAGTTTTTGAAGCTCATCGCCTTTTTGTTTCCTGTTTTAAACCACCATAGGTTTAATATTTTTTTTCTGGCACTGCCCCCAGTAAGACTCACATAACCTCACCTCTAGTATCAAACAGGAAAAAGTAAAAACAAATTTCCTATGGGTTCATAGTTTGTATTCAGTGAGTGAGAGAAAACTGTTCTCTGCTGGTTCCCCTGGAGTGACTGAATCTTAAAAGCAGTTAAATGACCACCAAAACTTTTTACTTTCTGGTCCTAACCAGAACTTATCTTTGGAAGTGATTGATTATTATTAAGTGTTTTGTACAAGTAGGTTAGTGAGCTACATCACTGATTACCCGCAATGATCCTCTCTCACAGTACTCAATTACTCCATAGATCATGGTATCCATCTTGACTGTTCCATAGAACTTCGTCAGGTTGTAATAGTCAATTTGAAGGAGCTAAAGCAAAAGAAATTCCACACATTAGAAACAGAACAATGACTTGTAATGATCGAAATGTTAAGGACGAGAGACAGAGATTCTTTTGAGACCCTCCCAGCAGGAATGGGCTGCTGTGCCATATCCTGGGCACAGGAATATAGCACAATCAATAGTTTGATGCTTTCCAACTATGATTCAAAAGTAATTATGGATATTGTATGTTGCCATATTTTTGCCTCTTAAGTGAGATGTAGCATATTGCAAAAGGGTCGTGACATTAAAATCTTCTGTATGGTGATTATTATATTATCTTACACCCAGATAATTATTAGGCTAGTTTGATCCAAAAAAATGGTTCAAAACCTGTTTCGGATGTAGGGGGCGCTAGTGGTTCAATTCGGAAATCAATTCCGATTTTCATAGAAAAAAATGTTCAAAACTTTTTGAAACTTCCAAGACTTCCAAATTCCGAATAATGGTTTGAAAGTGTTGTTTCCTGTTTCATTGGGTGGTCTTTACTTTGAAAGTAGTTGTTTTACTTCAGAAAGGGGGGGGGGGCAAAGAGAGGAAATTCATCCACACTGGTTTAAAACGGCTTCTCTAGTGTAAACCTGAAGCGGGAGGGACAACAAAGTGAGGAAATTCATCCACACTGGTTTAAAATGCTTGCCAGACTCCAAGCAGAAGCGAGGGGAGAGGAGAGAGGAAATTCACCACTGTTTTAAAACGCTTGCCCAGACTCCAGATGGTCACCCAGTCTCAATAATAATAATAATAAACTGGAAGAGACCCCTTGGGCCATCTAGTCCAAGCCCCTTCATTCTGCCTTCATGCAGGGAAACCACAATCAAAGCACCTCTGACAGATGGCCACCCAGCCTTAATAATAATAATAATAATAATAATAATAATAATAATAATAATAATAATAATAATTTTTCACCTCCTGGCCCAGGAAGTTTAGGCAGGCAAGAAGTTAGGCAGGTCGCTGTGAGCTGAGGTCCATCCTCCATGCCCAGTGCAGGCCAGCATGATGAAGGAGGCCAAAGGCGACCTTCGGGAGAGGCGTGGAATAGGCCAGACGCTCAGTTGGTCCCCAGCTGGGCCCAGGAAGGACAGAAGAAGCATGAGGAAGGAGGTGGGAAGCAGTGGCGGGCACACTCGCCAACTGCTTCACTCAGCCAGAGGCAGCATTGCCATAAATGAGGCCCCTGGAAGCGTGCTCCCAGGGCCTCTTCCCGCGCGCATTTTCCAATGCTGGGAGAGAGAGGTGCCCCAGCATTGGCAAGCACACGGGGGAACTGGGGACCAGAAGTGGGGAAACATCATTTCCAACTCACTTACTGCTTTGGAACAGAAATGGCAGAAAAAGCTTTGGAAGGGCAAAGGGACTTCCGGTTTCCATAAAATCTTTGAAATTGCTTCAAAAAGCAAATCTGAATTTATTCCGAATTACGAAGATTCCGACCGAACCTAACCATGTATAATAATTATATTTGCCATGTTTCTGTGGCTGTAATTAGTAAGTCCAAAATTCACCTTGTTTAGGTCTATCTTCTGTCTCTCTGTAAAATTCCCATCACTGGATTTGAAATCCTTTAAAATGATCACCTATAAAATGAAAGAAATTTGAAGGAAATAATAGCATAATCACAGTGATTAACATAACTAGAAGTTTGGATAAGTCAAATATATTTAATGATTAATATTTAGTTCAAGCAATAATATAACCTCAGCTGCTTTTTATGTGGTATGATATTAGTAAAATAATGACTGACATAGACAGACACACAGAGAAATCCTGTGAACATAGTAACAGATGAGAAGAACTAAACTTCTGTTTACATAACACATCCTTACTCATTAAAAAACACCACAAATCTACTACACTCAGTCTTCTATATCCAGACTACAGGCTTTCCATACAATTTTTGTTGCTTCGCTGTATCCATTACTCAACTCTGGCATGATGCCAAAGAAAAAGCTCTGGAAACAAAACAAGATTTACACTCCATCCTTAATCTACACAAGTTTGCAAAATACTGGAGAAAGCACTCTGTCCCTTTGAAATTTGTCTTGCACAAGAGCACTTCTAAAGAGATGAAGTAAAGCAGAGCTTCTAGAATAAAGATACCTTCTTGTCATATTTGCCTTGACGCAGCCTCTGGGCAGTACTACGCCTTTTGTCGTCATCAATCTGTGAAACAAAGAAGGCTAATCAAGCAGGTTTCAATAATGCACTCCACCCAGTGTGTGTCAGAAAACAGAATTTAATAACCCACATGTACCATAGGACATGGGATTCAAATGTGCTTCTTATATCATGAATACTATTGTGAACTTTTTTGCATAAAGAAAATGTAACAGGAAATGTATTCCTCCTCTTGCACAAGATAGACCTCTTTTTGTCAGGATGAATAATAGATCGCATCAGTTCCTTCTCCCACATATCACCTCAGCTGCTATTGTAATTTGCAGGATGACATACTGCAAATTACATACTGAGTTTAAGCCTAGTTTTTTAGCCCTTTTTTCAGGATGAAAAAGTCCCCCTCAGCTTATATTCGAGTCAAGATTTATTATTATTTTACTCTGTTATTAATCTTATTTTATGACATTTATTATTTTACTCTATTTATTATTATTATTATTATTATTATTATTATTATTATTATTACATTTATCATTTTACTCTATTATTGTATTTATTATCTTACTCTATTCTTATTACATTTATTATTTTACTTTATTATTGTTATTATTACATTTATTATTTTACTCTATTATTACAGTTATTACTACATTTCCATTATTTTACTCTATTATTATTATTATTATTATTACATTTATTATTTTACTCTGTTATTACTGGAAGGACACGTAAGCACATTTCCATTGAAGAAGGTTAGAATAATGGTTTAATCAGAGTTGGGCAGTCTTTTCTCAGAATACAGTTTTATGTAAATATTCAAAAACATTTAACCTACTAATGCCTCAATTAATGTAATTTTACTGATATCTATTTTTATTTTGAAATTTACCAGTAGCTGCTGCATTTCTCACCCTCAGCTTATACTCAAGCCAATCCGTATTCCCAGTTTTTTGTGGTAAAATTAGGTGCCTCGGCTTATATTCGGGTCAGCTTATACTCGAGTTTATACGGTAGGTGTCCCCAAGATATTATTTTGTATGTACTGAGTTCAGAAGGGTAAAACAACCCCTGGCCCTTTGGGGTGTTCATACCTGAATATGTATAAACCCATATTTTTCAAGGTTGTATCTAAGCCGTGTGGGTGCACTTATAGAATAATTTGCAGAATACATGTTTAGGATGTGCTCTAGCTGCTATAAAATTTTGGTGTATGACTACAGATCTCACTCAATTTTGTTTTTAAAAAGAAAAGCAAAAGTTGCATGACAACCAATGGCATGCAGATATAATATCGCCATCACTGAAAAGTTGTTTGAGGGAGTATCATGGAAGGATAAAAATGTGCTTTCTTGTGCCATTCTTTTACAGATTCTGTGCCTGGACCTGCTTTTCACTGGAAAGTGCAAGTCCTAAGGCTTGATGAGTAACACTACCACATGACAATATAGTATAAAAGAGTTGTGAGTAAGCATGAAATATAGTCCATAGTTTCCTGTTCCCTTGTCATAAAAAGACACTTAATGAACAGGGTTATTTGCTTTGACAGATAAAATTTGTGACAATGGTCAGCATCATCCAGAATGTGTGCAAAAGGCACCCAACAAAATTGTGTCCTACCTTCAAACTGACATGACTTGTCTCATTGGTCTCCAAAGGCAGTATCTTGTCATGTGGGATGTGGGACCATCTCTTCAGCCGGAGTTCATTAGCTCTCCTGTACTTCCTGCACATCACAAAAAAGTCTAAGTGTGGCAATTATTGGAGCACTCGAATATAGGTATTACTCATGGACATACAGGGCAAGTTAAGAATTTAGTCACTACATATTGCTTTATCAAAAACTTGACCTTTTTTCATGGGTCAGTCTGAATTAAGCTGAAAACAGTCTTTTAGGAGCAATTTTAATATTTGTATTCACATCAAATAAATCTTAATCATGTTTCAAGTGAAACCTGGATGAAGGTTCCCACTGACTAAAATGAGATATCTCAAAGATGGGATATAGGAAATGTATTACTAAAGTCCATAAGCAGAATGTGGCAGGTATGTGTGTGAAGAGGAATTTTTACTCCCAGGTAGGCAGAATACATAAGGTGTGGTTATGATTAAGCAGCAAGTATCCCATAGAAGAGGTCATTAGTTGGGAAAACAAAGAGTGTTTGCAAGCGAGTTTGTGCTGACTAGCCTTCTCTAGGGATGAGTTCAAAAGTGTAAATCTCAGGAAGGATTTGTGAACTTTTCTCCAGAAAGGACAGAGAAAGGAGAAACGAGGATTGTACCTCAGCACCAGCAGAGCGATGATCAGAACCAGCACCACTATCCCAGTAAGAGTGAAAACAGCTATAGTCAGAACGGATGGGCCTGCAGAGGTGAGACATTGGCAAACAAAAAAGCAATTAGTCACAGCAGAATAATCTATGTATGGAGATGCATGAAACAAGCAATAGTAAACTCGAAATCACAATTTAGTGGAAACTGGAATCCAGTTTTTAAGGAAGTTAAAAATCTACCTGTACCCTGCTATTAAAGATACTATGAGAAGACCAAGTGACATATCTTGACACTTCACCAGCTAAGGGTGCATAGCTTGTCTGAGGATTGGTGGAAAGTAAGATTAGGAGAAAGATGCATGTTCATATGCAGATTCCCTCCTAACTGGTTTGACAAAGAGCTGGTTCTGAAATGGAATTCGTCAAAACCCTGCTCTTTTTAATGAAAATTATCAGAGTAAACTCAGGCCCCTTCTACACTGCCATATAATCCAGATTGTCAAAGCAAATAATGGACATTATCTGCTTTTAACTGGATTATCGGAGTCTACATTGCTATATAACCCAGTTCAAAGAAGACAATCTGGATTTTATATGGCAGTGTAGAAGGGGCCACGGGGACTAGCATTCCTGTCTGCCAATAATTGTTTTTACTGCATTTAAACCAGACAATACAAAACAAAAAGCAATGTAAGTTTTACTTACTTTCTATGGAATAATATGTTAAATCAACTGAAATCTTTGTAGTACAATCCTGTACGTGTTTATTGAGAAGTATCTGTTCAATGGGAATTTCCTAGCAGTGCACCTCACTGAAAATGGTATTTACTTTCATTACAAGCATGTAAGATCAGAGCTTGAAAAGGTTATCTTTTGAGGATTGCAACTGCAACAGTTCTCCAACTGGTGATGCTTCCTGAAAAGTGCTGGAAATTGTGATCCTAAAAAGTAACCTTTCCTAGTTGTACCTAGGAAAATGTTTTTAGTTTATTTAAAATTAAGTCAGTGCAACCAATATTGCAGACAAAATGAACTTCCAGTTATACTCTTCTTTTCAGAAAATGTGAGGGAGATGGAAAGAACATGAACATTGTGGGGAAAAGGTCAGTCTCATTCATTTACTGATATTTTACTTCTCCCCAGAAAGGCAGCGTCTCAGAACACCAATTTGAAACGCCATCTTAATAAAAGCATTAAAACATTTCAAGTCCAACAACCCTATTTGGCCCCATTTTAGTTGCTGAAGGCCTGCCTGAATAAAAAGGTAATTACCTAACAGGAAAAAAGCATATTTTGTTTCGAAAGCTTTTGACCTGTGTTTTGTATTGGCATTTACTAATGTTCTCAATCTACCTTTCCATCCAAAGGCCAATCTTATCCCTCACCCCACCAATAATTCCCTGATAACAAAGCAATCCTTGTCAAAACACTCAAGTTGGTTGATCTTAGTAGGAAGTCAGGACATTGGGTCACCAATAAATAAATCAGTTAGCAAGCAAATGTATTTGGCAAGCTGCAAGATGCTTTTCTGCCCTGTACCTTAGGCTGAGTGACAGAAGGCTAAATAGCTTCAAGCACACTTTAAATAAAAATACAAGCTGATGGTCTAGAATTCAGAAATGCAGTGGAGATATGTCTATTCCTGATATTATGCTGCCCCCTACTGGTTCAAAATATTATACTACAAAAAAAAAAGACTACACTGCCCAACCAAAAAAAGAAATTCTTGGTGTCTCAGTTTTTAGGCCTATTCCTGGGGCTATTTGGGGTGATGATTTAGAGAATTGCATTGGATGGATTGCATCAGCTCTAGTTTCCTAAATATGGTTATCGTGATTTTCTATGAGTGAGCAGATGGTGACTGGTAGATGGCATATATTCTGTATCTCAAAAACGAGAACTAATAGAGGGAAACTGGTGCAATTTTTGGAACCAACAGGTCAAATACTCCCAGTAACAAGGCTAACATTTGAGGCACCAAAATGTGTATTGGCCAGTGCTATCATTCCCACTCAAGAAGCTCTTTATTTGCTGTTATTGTAGTAAAAATAATAATGACATTACATTTAAGATTAAATCAACAAAAAGAAACTGATTAACAGAAGCAGTCTAATCTTGACAATGTGGATCAGATTTTTTTTGTTGGCGTTTTCTTTAATGTTCTGTTTACAGTTCATTTTAATTGAATGCCTAGACCAAGAAGAAATGCAACCAAAAATGGCGCAACCTTCTAAAGAGATAAGATATTTTATTATGCAATGTAATTTGGATATAGATAGAAATTTGTCTAGGTAAATTAAGGAGTCACACTTTTGTAATTCATTTAAAAGGGAGGTGAGGAATTATATCACCAGACTAAAATTACCACATTGATGCTTTGCATACCAACTATTGGCTCTGGGACAAAAGTAGATTTCTGCTGATGCAGTTATTAACATTAGCAAACTAGTATTTCAACTGTCCAATAGCACTGGATGCTCATTTTTGAGGATTTAGGTGAGCAGAAAAATTCTGATCTAGTTCCAGAATGGAGTGATGTAGAACAAGGAAAAATATAGATTTAACTTTCTCTTGCTGTAATAAATAAGGAAATATGGGAGGATTACAGTCAAATGATGTATGCCTTATAGTACCTCCAGATTTGTAGTGGGCACTCGCTCCTTACTCCTGGTTCCTTATTCCACTTGCATTCCAGTGAAAGACTTATAGCAGTGGTTCTCAACCTGTGGGTCCCCAAATGTTTTGGTTTTCATCTCTCAGAAATCCTAACAGCTGGTAAACTGGCTGGGATTTCTGGGAGTTGTAGGCCAGGGACACCTTTGACTAGGGACCACTTTGACCAGGGACCTTTTGACCAGGAACCCCTTTGACTAGGGACCCCTTTGACCAGGAACCCCTTTGACCAGGAACCCCTTTGACTAGGGACCACTTTGACCAGGGACCACTTTGACCAAGGACCATTCTCCAACATTAGTACCAAAAAGTTACGAATCATATTTTGACAACTTTACATTTGGTTTGGGGTTCTGATTCAGAAAATTGCATTGGATATACTACATCAGCTCAAGTTTCTGATACAGAGCATATGCCATGGTCAGTGACAGGGAAGGAGTGGCCAGTGGCGCAAAAGCAGAAATAAAATAAAATAAAGAGGAAGGAGGCTTGCAGACCAGATTTTTGTCCTTGCGGCCCACTGGTGGTCCATGTGCCGCAGGTTAAGAATAACTGAGTTAGGTGTTGTACTATTTGAGCCCTTCTGATTTTGCCCTACGGTGTGGCTCAAACAAAATTCCTCTCCCAGGAAAGTTCATTGTACTCTGTAAAATCCCAAACCATTTTGGAATTGGGCTAAGCATTCAAAGAAAACAAATGCAAGTTTGTTTCAGATTAGCTGCTGAATTCAAATTGGTTTTACCAGCTCTGATCAAGTCTTCCTCCCTCAAAAACAAACAAAAAAGATTTTTCTCACCAGTACTGGGAATATCATTAGGCAGCATACTTCTTTTCCATATGAAATTAGGTTTTTCTTTTCCTGTTACTGTCCTATTCGTATGTGTGTCATATCGCAAGAGGATCTTATACTGCAGTAAGAAAATGAAGAAAAATGATGTTGTAATAATAACAATGGCAATAATAATAATAATAATAATAATAATAATAATAATAATATGCCTGCGACAAAATACTGGTGGGATCACAAGCCTCAAAAAGTTACAGAAAATGAACACGTCAAGCTGCTCTGGGACTTCCGAATTCAGACTGACAGAATTTTGGAGCACAATACTCCTGACCTCACTATCATGTTAAAAAATCAAGTATGGATTGTCGATGTTGTAATCCCAGGCGACAGCAGGATTGAGGAGAAACAACTGGAAACGCTGACACCATACGAGGATTTAAAGACCAAACTGCAAAGACTCTGGCACCAGCCAGTGAAGGTGGTCCCAGTGGTGATCGGTACACTGGTGCAGTGCCTAAAGACCTTGGCCTGCACTTAAACACAATTGGTGCTGACAAAAATAACCATCTGTCAGCTGCAATACAAGACAATCATACCTTATTAACACAAGCCTTCTGCTCACACACAAAAACCCCTTAATATGTTCAAGGACAGCCGCATTGTCTGCTTTCCTGTCCTTCTCAAACGCTAGGTTAGAATCATAAAATTATCTTCTTTTTTGTGTTAATTTTCATCCAATGTCTGTGATAGCAGGAATATGACTATACCTGTCTAATAAATGGTAGAATTGGATTCCTAAATAATGAATTGGAGTTGGAGTCAAATGTAAGATGTATCCCTGGGATATAAAGGGTGAATCAAACTGAGTAAACCAAACTGTACAGGCAAGTTTTTTTCTGCTGCTCTGGAGACTCGGACACAGAGCAATTGATTCAAATTGCAGTTGTCTGCATTTTCGGCTGCTAATATGCTCTTACGATAATGCTTACTTTAGGTTCACCGATTGATGTATAAAAAATTGTGAAATTGACATCGATGTCTCCATATTCATCCAAGATTACAGGACCAAGAATGCCTATAGGGAAAAAATATTTATTTACTTACTTACAATATTTATATATCGCTTTTCTTACCCCTGGGGGGACTCAAAGAGGTTTACAAAAACTAATGGCAAAAATTAATGCCTTACATACATAAACCAAATCATAAATCAAACAGCATATGACTAAGCATAAAATACATTAGGACAAATTAACCATAAGATAATAGGACATTTCAACATGAAGTATAAAAATTAAAAACACCTAATAAAAACATTTAAATCACATGCGCCAAACTCGTACACTGGGCCATTCCAGATGTCGATTACACATATTCCATATTAACGTCTTGTACTGCATTACTTTACTAGTCATAACCATGTCTTTGCTCTCTTTGTAAAGGCCAAGAGAGAGGGCGCAGATCTAATCTCTCTGGGGAGAGAGTTCCAGAGTCAAGGAGCCACTATTGAAAAGGCCCTGCCTCTCGTCCCCACCAACTGCACTTTGCGAAGCAGGTGGAACCAAGAGCAGGGCCTCCCCAGAAGATCTTAACCTCCGTGATAGTTCATAGAGGCAGATACATTAAAAAGCAGTAACAAACTGGTAATACTCAGGTCATTTCCCCTGAAAGTGAAATAGGGCTACATAAACAATAGGTAAGCTAACTTGTATAAAGTGTTGCCTATGAGAGGGCTAAGTAAGTATAATGTTCAGGCTGTTCAGGTGTTACTGTTGAAATGGGAAGTAAATTATAATCTTCAAACTTCAGACTCAGGATCCCTTTACAATGAAAACACTATGTTTCCACCTTAATTACCATGGCTGCACTCTATGGATTCCTAGAATTTGGTGAGGTACTGATTGAATATTCTAAGCACCGCTCTCTAAACTGCAAATCCTAAAATTCCATATGATGTTGTCATGGCAATTAAAGTGAAATTGTAGCACAATAAATAAATAAATGGACTTGTAGTCTAGTCAAATTAAGCAGCCATGCCTATTCTTAAAAAAAGAAAAGTTTTGTTTTTCTACACATCATTTTCATCCGATGTCTGTGATAGCAGGAATATGACTACACCTATCTAATTTGTTCCCACCATGTGAAGGCTTACTTCCCAGTAAGTTTACAGAATTACAGATGAAGCTTGCTAAGCCTCCTCTCGCTTCCCCAGGGCTAACCTTTCCATGCTTAAAACTAACATCAGGCTCTTTAGGAATATATGGTAGAGTCTTGCTTATCCAACTTTCGCTAATCCAATGTTTTGTATTATCCAATGCAGTCTGCCTCCCACCCAGATCCACAACTGTTTCAATACATTGCGATGTTTTGGTGCTAAATTAGTAAATACAGTAATTACTACATAATGTCACAGTGTATTTAACTGCTTTTTCTGTTGATGTTTTGGTACTTAATTTGTAAAATCATAGCATAATTTGATGTTATACATTTCATACATTTCATTAATGGCTCTAATGACATTATAAATATCAATGGGGACAGGGGACATCCCTGTCTTGTCCCTTTGGCTATATTAAATTCTTCCATCATTTGGCCGTTAATCCTTATTTTGGCCTTTTGTAAATCATATATTGCATTTATTGCATTGTTAAATTTAGCGCCCATATCTAACTCTTGGATCAATAATTTTTTTAAAATCCCAATTTAAGTTGTCAAATGCTTTTTCGGCATCCAGAGCTAGTATTGAAAATTCTTTCTGATGATTCAGCTCATAATATTCTATTAAGTCCAGGAGCAGCCTAATATTATCCTTCATGTATCTATTTGGGAGGAATCCTGTTTGATCTCCTTCTATCCATTCCCTTAAAAAAAATAACCTTGTGGCCAGTATATTAGCAAAGATTTTATAATCTGTATTCAGCAGTGAGATCGGTCGATAATTTTTAATCTCAGTCTCATCTGTTCCTTCTTTGTGGATCAGAACTATCTCAGCATTCATCCATGTCTCCAGAATCTTTTGCATATTCATTGCTTCATTTAACAGCTTTTTAAACAGGGGTGTTAACACCTGTTTATATGTTTTGTAAAATCCCGCCGTATATCCATCCGGGCCTGGAGCTTTATCTGAGTCCATTTTATTAATAGCTCTCTCTATTTCCTCTTCTCACAACTCCTGACAATGCTTGCCATAGATGCAGGTGAAACGTCAGGAGAGAATGCTTCTAGAACCTGGCCATATAGTCCGAAAAACCTACAAAAATACAGTGATTTCAGCCATGAAAGCCTTTGACAATACATTGTTATAACTGTGTTTTGCAGTTAGACTACTCTATAACATACTCCAGGCATTATAGTTTTACAGAGGTACATATAATTACCTTGAAAAGTGATATTCCGGAATTGCTTAATAAATTCAAGAGAGTCTATTGGTATTTTTTCCAAAAAAAGTTTTCTCAAAACATGGCCAAAGAGCAAAACAGCATCCAAATAGCCAACAATGAAGTCATCATCTAGCTGTAAGAGAAGGAACAACAAGAAATCTTAAACTGTGTAAAGACAGCAAATAATACACCGAAGGAGTAGAGAATATCCGATTCTTTTAGTAAATGCACTGAAGATAGAAAGCTTGCTTTTTTAAATGATGGCAGAAGATTACACCCAATATTTTCTCTGTAGGGGAGCAATTACAAGCAGTAAAAGAATCAACAGCATACAGAGTGAGACACTTAAAGAGATGTGCTTATAGCTGCCTCTACTGTGCACAGCACAAGGCTCAACCTTTTCATTAAACCACACAGCTTTCCTTTATCCTCACAGTTTATACATCATAGTCTTGCACTTCTCTCTGAATCATCTTATTTTCCTCTTCTATCAAATTATTGCCCTACAAAATCTAACATCCATCTGTTCCTGCAATCTTACATCATCACCTGTCAGTTCCCAAAAGATAGTTTACAATTTAAGAATTTTATCCCTCATTTCATCTTCTCTTTTCTTTTTGGTGTTAGGGTTCTTTTGGCTCCCTGTCAATTAGACTTAACACGTGGAATCTATTTTTATGCTATGTTTAAATTATGAGTAGGAAGGAATGTTCTTTGGGTGCATTTTGGCACTATTGTTGGTATAGTTTCTTCTTTAGCTTTACTCTAATATTTTATATTACCACTTCATTGTTGCTTTGTTTGTTTGTTTGTTTGTTTTGAGGAGAAAAAAATCTTCTCCACCTTTTGCTTCATTTCTTGTTCTTAGGCCAAATTTTCCTAAAATATCATTTTGTCCTGTTTCCTACTCTTGCAGCCCAATTATCTGTGGTTAATAACATATCAGGTTCCTCAACTCCAACAAAGAATCTTTAGGTTTCTGTGAGTTTTCCGGGCTGTATGGCTATGTTCCAGAAGCATTCTGTCCTGACGTTTCACCCACATCTATGGCAAGCATCCTCAGAGGTTGTGAGGTGTCTTGGAAACTATATATTTTTGGACATTACAAAGATATGTAAACTCCACTTGCCTAGTTTCCAGCAGACCTCACAACCTTGAGGATGCCTGCCATAGATGTGGGCAAAACGTCAGGAGAGAATGCTTCTGGATCAAGGCCATACAGCCCAGAAAACTCACAGCAATCTAGTGATTCTGGCCATGAAAGCCTTCAACAACACAGAGAATCTTTAGTTTCTTCTGCCTTTGTCATCAGAGTATAATCTTGGTCTATATTGATGGGCTTCCCCTGATGTCTTATTGATATTATTTAGTCAGACTTTCCAGTTCACCCTTTAACTGTTTTTGGTCCATCTCTCTTCCCTATTAATGCAGTCCCATTTCTTCTTAGATTTTTATTGAGTAAGATACCATAGTTCTCTAATTCAAAATGTCCCATTCCTATCCACTTTAGCCTGCTCACCCCAAATATTATGGTGTCTGTACATTCCAGATATTGTTTTGTTATTTAGCTTCCTCTGGTTTATGATTCTCACATCCTGTGTTTCTATAATATGCACTGTGCAACTTTGGACTTTGGCCACCAGCACAGTTTCTTGCCTCACAAGAACATGTAATCTTCCCACTGCAGAAAAGCAGAGCCATTGGACAGCTTACAACAGTCAAAACTAATATAGTAAAAAATAGCATATAAAAATGTAAAAACCAAATGGACATGGTACTGTAAATATCTTCTTAAATAGTGGGTGACACTTTCTCACAAAGTCATGCAATGCCAATATGATTTGACTTTGAAACAGTTACTTTTTAAACTACTATGCCAGAATCTGGTTACAGGATTCTGGATATGTCCAAAAAAGTAATTTTTCCAAAATTGGAATATAATTGGCTTGAGTGAAGTAATGCTCCTAATTTTGTTCTATAGTGTAAGTTAAGATTATGTGCATGTTTTGTAGATTGGGTGCATGACTGCAATTTTGTACAGCATATAAAGTACTAGGCAGGTTGAATTCTATTAGTAGGAGGACTTATCTAAAATTGGGATATGTAGGAGTCGAAAGGCCCTTCTATACAGGGCAGAAACCCAGGAAGAAGTGGGTTTTAAAAAGCCGCTTCCTCTTGGGTTTCTGCCTTGTGTAGAAGGGCCCTTCGACTCCTGAGTTTCTCTCTCCACCCCCTCCCACAACTCTGGGATGGCCCAGGATGGCATTCAGCCACGTCCCATCCCCCCCAGTATCTCATTTTCCCCGAAAACCTTACCTAAGGGGGCTGCCAGCAGCACAGGCCCCTCAACTGAGTAGTATTGATACTTGGAAATACTCTATGGAAGGGTCTGTGCTGCTGGCAGGCCCCTCCAGTAAGTTTTTCAGGGGGAAATTGGGAGCTGGGGGGGGGATGGGCGCTTTCCCACTCCTTTGGGTTCTAGGAGCCCAAAGAGCCGGGATGACTGTGGGGATTGAACCCCAGGACTGTGGAGTCAATCCCTACAGGGACCACACCTGGAAATATCCTTAGCTTAAGGTCAAGATCTTTCCAGGTTTTTAATTAATGTGGAGTAAACTGGGAAAACACAGTTTTCTCCACCTTTGTTTGCTTTTACCTGAGGCGTCGTTTGGATGCCTCAGGTAAAAGCCAGAAAGGGACTGCATTTTGGGCCTGTCTGGAAGGATCCTAAGATACACTGGTAAATAAGTGGGGAAAGGGTCCAACAATCCCTCCACATACACATTTGGCATGTTCAACCAAGATTGTCCATTAAAACCCACTGGGAGGCATTGAGTAGATCACTCTCTCTCAGCCTCAGTGGAAGGCAAAATCAAAACAATCTTGCATAGAAAGTTTTTGACAAGTCTTATAAAGAAAACCCCTTGATAAGTTTGTCTTAGGCTCACCATAAGTTGGAAAGAACTTTAATGTCTAGTGTAAAGGGCCCTTTACACTATAAATATGCAAGAAGCCATTTCATTCTGCAACACATTTTCAAGCATACCATACAACAAAAAAATTACCAGATAGAGATTAGCAGGATCAACAGGAATCCCACTATAGTTTGAAACTGCACTATTGTTTGTTGGTGCCAGAGACAGGACAAGGACTTGCTTCATGTATTCAGCTGAGTTCGCATTTTCATGGTATTCATTACTGTAAAAGAAAGTACAAGTGGAAACCACAAACAAGGACAATGGAAAATCCAAGTTATTCAAGCAACTAAGTGACTATTGCTTAGGGAAAATGCTTATAACTGTGTTATGGTAGGATTATGAACTGAACTTCTGGTTAGACTAAGGATTATATATTTATTTATTTATAACTTTTATATATCTGTCTTCTCACCTCCAGCGAGGGACTCAGGCCGGTTTACAACAAGGAATTCATACACAGTAGTTTAAAAACATCACATCCAATAATACACTAATATAAACACATTAAAGTACTATCATATAATTATATAAAGCCAAATCATTCACATAAAATCACTATTCATCCCTATTCATCCCCATCTGTCCGTGTTTTCATCCCCATTATTTAATACTTCCTTACCTAGAATCCAAACCATTTCTTTACGAGCTGGGAGAAGCACTAAGCTTAATAGGTACATAACATTAGAATAGGTCTGAATGTATAGTATGTTAACAGGGTACCTGAGGAAATTCTGATCTATGTATATTGATATCATTTCAGCATTACGAACTGCAAAGGGCACAATGGCCATTCCCCATTGGTATTTCTATTGCTGTTGTGTGCTTCAAGGCATTTCCATCTAATGGTAACCCTCTGGTGAACCTATCATTGGATTTGCTATGGGGATTTGCCATTGTTTTCTTATGAGACTAAGATAGTACAGATTGCTTAAGGTTACCCAGAGGGTTTTCATGATGAAGTGTCAGATTCTTCATATATCATTTAAACCACCCCACTCCACTGGCCGCCATCTCCTACATGTGTCTTTTCGGTAATTTTTTGTGTTGTGTCAGAAGCGACTTGAGAACACACTGCAAGTCGCTTCTGGTGTGAGAGAATTAGCCATCTAAAGAGATATTGCCCAGGGGATGCCTGGATGTGTTACCATCAAGTTGGGGGGCTTCTCTCATGTCCCCGCAAGCTAGTGCTGACAGACAGGAGCTCACCCTGTCTCGTAGATTTGAACCAGCAACCCTTCAGGTCAGCAACCCAACCTTCAGGTCAGCAGTCCAGCCAGCACAAGCGTTTCACCAGTAAATTCCAGAAAGTTCCATGGGGCTTAGTTCCTGGCAGGTAAATATGGGATTGCAACACTAATGTGTCGTCATCCTGGTATCAATCCAATGTGGGTTTTTTCCATTTTTTATTTTGGTTTCTATTTTACATAGTCTTCCTAATAGTGTTTTGAGATTAGATATGAAAATAATTTCTTAATCAAGGCTTAAGATTTTAGCTATGGCTCCCTTTTGTGTAACACACAATTATAATGTGCAGCATAGTAGTTGGGTATGGAGACATACACAAGGCTGAGCCATGCCCTTGGATTATATAGCCTTTGATGTCCTCCCCTTGCCTTTATCTTGTGGGGAGCAGGCAGGCTCAAAAAAGATGCGTCTCCGTAACCAGATATGAAATGATTACAGCAGTGCTAAGAGCTCCAAAGGACCCTGGAGAACCTCAGCACTTAAGTAATAACTTAACGTCTGGCTACAAGGACATAGCCAGAATCTTCTCTAATCCTTCCTGCTCTCACAAGGCACTGAATGGCTGCACCATGGTGGAGGTGGGAAGAAGTTCAGAGGCTATATGGTAAAGTATTGGGGCTTTGGATGCTGTAAGGAGAGGAAGTGAATACCATGGGGACTCTCAGGAGTCTGAAAGCCCCATGTGATCCACAGGCTGCATTGCACCCAACCTATATTAAAGTCTAGCAATGTTGCACATGCCCTTGCAGGGAGAGATATTCCAGGTTTAATAGGTCTTATTTTGATCTTTGCCACTGCCCTGCAAAGTTTTTACCTGTGAAGATCTATCAGGATGACAACAATATCCTCATCCATCGCTACACCTCCTAGGGCTATCTCAATATCATGTGGAGTACCACACATGATGATCACTGTATAACAGAAAGTGAGAGGGAGAAACAAAAGGTAATAAATCATTTCCCCTTTACTTTTAACATTACAGTTTTAGAGCAACTGAAGATGCAATATTATTAAAATAGACTTCAGGGGTAGACACGTGGAAACTTCAGTAGAAGCTGATCAAGTCTGCAAACTGTGCAGATTTATTGATTTATTTATTTCGCATATTTTTAGCCCATCCATCTCACCCTGGAGGGGGACTCAAGGCGGCTTCACAACAGGCATTCGTTCAATGCCAACAACAGTAACAAATGATAAAAGCAATTAAAACAAAATTAAAAAAAACATTGTTTAAATCACACAGGTTTGAAATCAAAGTCCAGGTCAGTCCATTGTCATTCACACAAATTGGGGTGTCATTCTAAATTGCTGCCTCTATTGTTCGAACGCTTGCTCCCATAACCAGGTTTTGAGTTTCATTCTAAAGGACAAGAGGGAGGGGACCAATCTAATGTCACTGAGTTCCACAGATGAGGGCCCACCACTGAGAAGGCCCAGTGTCTCGTCTCCACCACTTGTGCTTGTGAGGATGGTGGAACCGAGAGCAGGGCCTCTCCCGTTGATCTTAGATTTCGCGATGGTTCCCAAATCTTTTGGGAAGACAGGCAGACAAATGTCAGCATGTTGGAAGAAGCAAAGACCACCAGCATTGAAGCGATGGCCCTCTGCCATAAACTCTGCTGGACCAGCCACGTTGTTCAAATGCCCAGTCACCATCTCCCAAAGCAGTTGCTCTACTCCGAACTCAAGAACAGAAAATGGAATGTTGGAGGACAGGAAAAGAGATTTAAAGATGGGCTCAAAGCCAACCTTAAAAACACAGAGAACTGGGAAGCCCTGGCCCTTGAGCGCTCTAGCTGAGGTCAGCTGTGACCAGCAATGCTGTAGAATTTGAAGAGGCATGAGTGGAAGGCGAAAGAGAGAAATGTGCCAAGAGGAAGGGACGTCAAGCCAACCCTGATCGGGACCGCCTTCCACCTGGAAACCAATGCCCTTACTCGGACAACAAGTGACCACCTAAGTAAATAAGTAAGTAGCAGGAGATACGTTCAGACAGGTAAGCTGGGCAAGAACTGTTCTGGACTTTATAGGCTAAAGCCAGCACTTTGAATTGTGCTTGGTAGCAGATTGGCAACCAATGGAGCTGGCATAGCAGAGGGCTTGTATGCTCTCTGTATGCTGCTCCGATGAGCAACCTGGCTGTCATCCGTTGGACTAGTTGGAATTTTCCAACAGTCTTCAAAGGCAACCCCAAGTAGAGTGTGTTGCAGTAATGTATTCAGGATGTAACGAGAGCATGGACCGTCATGGGCAAGTCTGACTTCCCAAGATATGGGCTCAACTGGTGCACAAGTTTTAATTGTGCAAAAGCTCCTCTAACCACTAACAAGACCCGAGGCTATATGATTATTAGGGAAAGAAGTGGCCAATCTATGTTTTACTATTTGATTTATGCAGTGGATCTTTAGTATCTGCTGTGGTTTAGTTCCCCATAGATACCAAAATCTGTGGATGTTCAAGTTCCATTAAATAGAAAGGTATAGTAAAACGATGTCCTTTATATAAAGTGGTAAAATCATGATTCCTTTTGGTTGGGGGAGAGATATTTTCAAGTTGCAGATGGTTGAATTCACAGATGCAGAATCCATGGATCCTGCCAGCATGCTACCTGTGATGGTAGTGGTCATCCTTGCTACTTCTAAAGAAATACAGAAAGCCAAATCGATGTGCATTTTATTTAAGAAAATATTGAATTGGCTCAGTAATTAAATGCCACTTTATTAATCTCTTGGACATGCAGGAACAAAATATTCTCCATCTTTCCTTACCATTGCTTTTCCGATTTGAGTCCTTCACAATGTCCTGTAGGTATTCTTGTGTCCTTATGATCTCCTTGTATTTGATGTTTAGAGAGAAAAATGTCACGTCAGCTTCTAAGGCATTCATATACCTGGAAATGATATAGGAAGTACAAGTTACAAATCAGCTTGTACAGTGACATGCTTTCAAACTAAAGGTTTTAGAAATTTATTTGCAAGCTCAACAGTGAGCAAGACTTCACTTTAGCAATAATGGACACAGACTGCATTTGTTGGCGTGGAAAAAATAAGAACTTTACCGATTGCAGTGAAAAGGCTTGGCCTCAGTATGGGTCCAAATCTAGGCATCAGACAATGCAGCTGTTTACTAGTTTCAGAAATGGCAATCAGAGTCAAAGATGTTTGAATCTTGTATGAGGAAATTACTAGCATTCTGGCATATTTCAACACACATGCCTCTCAAGAGACAAATACCATATGGCTTCCTTATCTGTGGATTCGATATCCACAGCTTCACTGCCCCACAATTCCACAAAATATTTCCCCACCCTGAAGTATTTCTGAGTCTCTCTATGTCCTCAATTGCAAGTCAATGTTATGCTTCTAGCCTAGGCATGGGCAAACTTTGGCCCTCCAGGTGTTTTGGATTTCAACTCCTACAAATCCTAACAGCCTACCGGCTGTTAGGAATTGTGGGAGTTGAAGTCCAAAACACCTGGAGGGCCGAAGCTTGCCCATGCCTGTTCTAGCCCAAGTATAGTCAAAATATAGAGTTCACTATTATCCATGGTTTCAGGTATCCACAGGGGTATTTGTGTGCCTTGGAATATATCCTCCGCAGATACAAGGATCGTACTGTATCTTACATGTAGCGGGCATTGATATTAATAGAACAAATGAAATATGGCATAACCAAATAAATATTTATTTATTCTGTATGCTTGGTTAATGTATCCAAGGTATTCAGGTTCATATTTTATTTTTAGTGTGTTTTTATCAGTTTGTATTTTTTTCTTTATGTTTATTTTATTTCTTATTTTTATTTTTTACTATTTTGTTTATTAAGTTACAGTTATGTTGTTTTCTATTGTCTAATGTGTTTTGTCTTGATGTAAACTGTTTGTATGGGGGGGTTTTGGGCACTGAATTTTTGCCATATTTGTTGGAAACCACCCTGAGTCCCTTTGTGGAGATAGGGAGGTTAAGAAATAAAGTTTATTTATTTATTTATTTTTAAAGAAATAGCTACATGTGCCATCATGACAAGCTTCAACTTGACAGAGCAATAAAGCAGCAATAGGAAAGATGACCAGGCCAATTAGATTTGACGCGGATGATTAGGACGGTTTAAATGGTATATTTTAATATTTTGATAAATGTTTTGAATGTTTATTAATTGTATGTGAATCTGTGTCCCGGCATTGAATGTTTGCCGTATATATACTGTGCTCTGCCCTGAGTCCCCTTTGGGGTGAGAAGGGCGGAATATAAATGTTTCAAATAAATAAATAATAAACGACAGCCATTTTGCAGTTGACATGGCTGGCAAAATTTAGTGAACCCGTGATAAATGTGGCCTTCTGATAACAACTGGGAAAATAGTCTGAGTTGAATGAATTATATCAATCCCCCTTCTAAAGTGAGATGAGATACTTTCCCTTACTGTGCCTGTAACAATTGCCATGCCACATGCCTTTGCACATGCATTTTTCAGGAGCACACAATGGAATGAAAAGCTTTAATACAGCAATGTTCTTGCAGAAGAGATCAGCACAATTACATTATTGCTTCAGAATAGAATGTCACCATATGTCGATGTACATGCAAATTTTGCTTCCCAAAGCTTTAATTATAGAAGTTGAAGCAGTGAAAAGAATCATAGACCTGTAGTAAAGCATTTGTTACTACAAATAATTTATTATAATTTTATACCTGACACCAAGTCATGGTGGAATGCTCAATAGAGGACACTGGTTCACCTTAACTGATTGCGCTATCTATATTTCCCCTTCTCTCAATATCTTACTTTCCTCTGTTCAATGTATTGGCCCATACTCCTCAGTCTTGTAACCCTGGCCTGTATTAAAAATACCAATATTAATGGGTAACCCTTAGAGTCGAATCAGTTATCCAAGATGCCAAACCTAACATGAGGATAAAATTCAGCACCTTGGAAAGCTCTTTTAATGTCCAGGCTACTGTATAGATCACTTTTGATGCCATCGCTATGAGCGAACACTACTGTAAGTTGGATTCTTACTGTTCTTAGCTTTTTTTAATAAGTCATACAGAGCTGTAGCTGATGAAGCTTCTAAAGTGATAGTTCAACATTTCATGTCCTCAGTTTCTGTACATCAAGCAATACTTAAAGGCATAAAATTATTGCTAGTAAACAAGTTAGAAACTTTGTTTGCCTGCCCAGTACATGCTCTCTCATCAGTGTTTCATTTGGTTCTGTCTTCACAGCTAAGCATTCCAGCACTTTAACTGAACAGTGATGGAAACAAATAGCTAGCAAGTAAAATAACATTTGCAAAGAAAACAGGAAAGAAAGTGTTGCTTGCCTCAAATGAAGAACAGTGCAAAGCAGAGTTATGCTCTTAATACCTTCTTGTATAAACAAACACTTCCATAAAGAGTTTGGCAGAAACTGTACTTTATCCTCCTCAAGTTAGATTAAATGCTTCCATTTTAGTTGGAGATAAACTAGAAGCTACTGTTCTTAGAGATAACAGCTGGCTTAATCTTTTATTATGCCCTGTTTCCAGTTACTGTTTTATTGTTTATATTTTATAACTATTTTGAACTGCACAGAGAATTTTGTCAGCCCAACAGAACAATCAACCAATAAATCAATGGGATAATGATGTATTTCTGTACAAATGGGATAATTGAATGGAGAAATATTTTTGCACTGAGTAAAAACCTTCCTCCATTTTGGTTCATTAGAATCATAAATCGTAGAGTTGGAAGAGATCTCGTCGGCCATCCAGTCCAACCTCCTGCCAAGAAGCAGGAAGATCACATTCAAAGCACCCCACCCCCCCACAGATGGCCATCCAGCCTCTGTTTAAAAGCCTCCAAAGAAGGAGCCTCCACCACACCCCGGGACAGAGAGTTCCACTGTTGAACAGCTCTCACAGCTAGGAAGTTCTTCCTCATGTTCAGGTGGAATCTCCTTTCCTGTAGTTTGAAGCCATTGTTCTGCATCCTAGTCTCCAGGGCAGCAGAAAACAAGCTTTCTACCTCCATTATTTTTTCATTTACCATTTTAGGAAATATTACAATTCTGTCATTCTAAAACACTGCACTTATAAGCTTCATAAAAACAAAAAGTCATATAGAATCTACGTACAGCAACATTTTGTTTTCACAGTGGCAAAGTAAATACCTCTGAGAAGCCAACAGGTAGGGCATGAGTCCAACAACATCCTCCTGGTTTTGCTCCCCAGCAACTGATTGCAAAGAGGTATATTGCCTCTGGTACCAGAAAGACCCATATATCCAACATAACTAGTAGCTGCTGATTAGCCCCATTCTCTATTAATTTGTTCAGTCCTCTATCAAACCTATTAAAGACACCGCCCACCATTGAATATTGAAGTAGCCCATCCCACATTTTATCTATATGCTATAAGAAAAAGTATTGTCTTTTATCTATCCTAGAATCATAGAGTTTGAAGAGGCTACAAGGGTCATCCAGTCCAACCCCCTACCGCACAGGAAAAGCGTGTTTGTTTATCACCTCTTAGCCCAATGCCATGCTAATGCTGGGGAGAAAATATGTCATGGTCAGTTTCCCTCACAATCAGACAAAAGGGGACATTCTGTCTTGAATTCAGATGGTTTGCCCTTCTGCCTAAGAGGCAAACTCTCAGCAGCTACACTTCTGCTCTGCTCCTTCGGGATGACTGCAGGATCTGATGTCACAGGGGCAGTGAAACCACCCTGGGGTTTATGGCCATCCCTCTCACAGAAATTCCAGGTTTCTGGACTGTATTCCTGACAAAGTTTTGGCCCAAGGATATATTCTGTACAACCTTGAGCAGTTTCAGGAGGACTAGAGCCACCAGAATCCCAAGAGTGGATTTGGCATCGCCTTGCTATCGATCCACCAGATGTTCCTCACATAACTATGGTTTTGCATTTTACAAAAGCAATACATGAAAGCAAGAGGTTAGTTGGGAGGTCTGAATGAACTTAATTATATTTGTAATATGATCCGCATTTAGCTCTTGAACTGCTTTGTCAGTCTATTTACTTATTTAATCTATATCCCATGCTTTCCCAATCAGAAATCCAAGGTAGTTTTGTTGGAGCATGTAAGAAATCAGTTAGTGTGTGTGTGTGTCAACTGTAAAATAAGATGCATGAAGCTGATTGTCTAGGGCGCTGGCTGAGCCTGGAACTTTTGGATACAGTTACATTTTTCAGGCTTGAACTATGCAGGTGCTTCCAGAAAAGCAGAGAAACAGAAAGAGACAGAGTTTGGAGTATGCATTTGCTTCATGAACTGCTGGAGGAGATTGTCCACATGGACAAAGAAAGAAAATTTTAAATCTCTCATAAAAGGACATTATGTAAGTTGATGCAACTGATCACATGTAAATATGTTGTTCGGAACTATGAAGAGTAAACTATTTGCTTATTGTTAATCTACGTGGCATATTTTCTTTCTCTGACGAGGCAGTGTGTAGGCTGATTAAACGTGAACTACGCATTATTTTCCATTTCATCACAGTTTACAACAAAGTTTTAAAAATACAGCTAAAAACCCAATGAAACAAAAGGCTTTTTAAAAAATTTAATTAAGTGTCATGTAAAAACACCCACAATTTAAAATCAGTATGAAATCATTTAAAATATAACAGTGAAGATTAAAAGTAGCAATCTTCTCCATTAAAAGCCCTATTGCATCACTTACGAATAATGAAATGCCTGTGTAAATAAAAGGGTATTTACTTTGCTTTTGGAACTTTGGTCCAAAAGCAAGGCGCTGGCTGCTGGAGCTGATGGACAACTGCACTGCATCCTGTCAGATCCCCAAAATCTGGAGGAAAGCAAGAGTCATCGCCATCTTGAAGCCAGGCAAAGACCGCAATGACCCAAAAAGCTACAGACCAATCTCCCTGTTGTGCCACCTCTACAAAGTTCTGGAGAGACTTATTTTGCATAGAATTACGGGAAAAAATAGACCCCTGTCTGATCCCACAGCAAGCTGGCTTCAGGAAAGGCAAAAGCTGCACATCGCAAGTGCTGAACCTGACTCAGCACATAGAAGATGGCTTTGAAAGGCAGCAGATCACAGGAGCTGTCTTCATAGACCTGTCAGCAGCCTATGACACTGTGAACCACCGCCTCCTCCTGAGAAAAATGTATAATATCACAAAGGACTACCACCTCACCCGCCTCATAGGAAACCTGCTACAAAACAGGAGCTTTTTTGTTGAGTTCCAGGGCCAGAGAAGCATATGGCGGAAACAGAAGAACGGCCTGCCTCAGGGGAGCGTGCTTGCTCCATCCATGTTCAACATCTACACAAATGACCAGCCACTGCCAGAAGGGACAGAGAGTTTCATCTATGCTGATGATCGTGCCATCACTGCTCAAGCAGGGAGCTTTGAGATGGTTGAACAGAAGCTCTCCGAAGCTCTAGGTGCTCTTACTGCCTACTACAGGGAAAACCAACTGATCCCTAACCCATCTAAAACACAGACATGTGCCTTTCATCTCAAGAACAGAGAAGCATCCCGAGCTCTGAAGATCACCTGGGAAGGAATCCCACTGGAGCATTGCAGCGCACCCAAATACCTGGGAGTCACTCTGGACCATGCTCTTACCTACAAGAAGCACTGCCTGAACATCAAGCAAAAAGTGGGTGCTAGAAACAATATCATACGAAAGCTGACTGGCACAACCTGGGGATCACAACCAGATACAGTGAAGACATCTGCCCTTGCGCTGTGCTACTCTGCTGCTGAGTATGCATGCCCAGTGTGGAACACATCTCACCACACTAAAACAGTGGATGTGGCTCTTAATGAGACATGCCGCATTATCACGGGGTGTCTGCGCCCTACACCTCTGGAGAAATTACACTGCTTAGCCGGTATTGCACCACCTGACATCCGCCGGGAAGTAGCAGCCAATAGTGAAAGGACCAAGGCAGAGACATCTCCAGCTCATCCCCTGTTTGGGTATCAGCCAGCACGTCAACGACTTAAATCTAGAAATAGTTTTCTAAGATCTACAGAGACACTCGCTGGAACACTTCAGCAAGCAAGAATCCAAAAGTGGCAGGCTCAAACCCAGAACCTCAACCAATGGCTGATACCAAATGAGAGACTCCCCCTGGGCACACAGAAGACTGGGCGACTTGGAAGGCGCTGAACAGACTGCGCTCTGGCACCACGAGATGCAGAGCCAACCTTAAGAAATGGGGCCACAAAGTGGAGTCCACGACATGCGAGTGTGGAGAAGAGCAAACCACTGACCACCTGCTTCAATGCAACCTGAGCCCTGCCACATGCACAATGGAGGACCTTCTTGCAGCAACACCAGAAGCACTCCAAGTGGCCAGATACTGGTCAAAGGACATTTAATCAACTACCAAACTCACAAATTTTGTACTCTGTATTTTGTATTTTTGAATTTTGTCTGTTTGTTTGCTTTGTTCTGTTAGAAATGTAATATAACTGACTGGTTGCTGATGACTCGATAAATAAAATAAAATAAAATAAAATAAAAACCTAGCAGCAGAATGAGGGCTGGAAGGAGACCAGCCCACCCTCCCATCAGAGGGAATTCCATGCCTGGAAGCATCCAACAAAAAGACTCTCACATGAGTCCTCACCAGATAGGACCATGAGAAAGTCCTAACCTGAATGTTTATATAGGGATAGACAGTACGACCTCCTGCATGTTAACAAAAATGCAGACTTTTTGTTCACTTTTGTTTGCATTAATACACAATTTAGTAATCTTCAACAATATTTGTCTTTGAGGGGTTTCATCTTTCCTTCCTTTACATTTGCAGATCCTTCTTTCTCTCTGTATATTGCCTACAGTTCAGCCCCGTAAACTTATTTCCCAACATGTTATAATAGTTTAAAATCATATCACTGCATTACTAACATGTGATTTAACTTGACACGTGAAAATACAGTGATTGTCAAAAAGTACAGAAATCTTATCCAACAGTGTTTCCTACCAGAAGCAGTCTTCAGTGTTGTTAAGCTTCTTATAAATGTAAGTAGTTTCCCAAGGGACATCCTTGAATAATAATCCTTTATTTCCCCAGAAATCAATCAAGAAGTAGCTTAGTTTCCTGGCTGGAGTCAATATCCGTGTTAAATACTCTTTGAAGTCACAAGACAGCCCAAAACTCCCAGCAGAGATGACGGGGAGACCTAACACAGTCTCTACTCTAGGAAAAAGCAGAAGCAAATTATTCCAACAGAGCTGCCTCTGGTGCTGAAAATGTCTAAAATTAATGCTTTTGTGAAGATGCTGTTGGTAACACATTTTCTTTGACTTGATTTAACTGCAAAGTAGATCTGGAATCAAAAAATCTTGATGAACAGTTCTTTCAGTAAAAGCATTAGTACATTTTGAAAGGCATATTCTGGGAAAAAGCATGTTGCTGTGCTGAAAGATCCTTTTGGTTTCAGTCGGCTTTGCCCTCCACAATACAAAATTATGTCCACCATGCCTTCTGGTATAATGTTTTCCTCACAATGTTTTCCTCCGCAAGGAATTAAAAACTTCACAACCTATCCAGCCCCTGCACTTTAACACGGTCCCTTTCTGGCACTTCTTTTTTTTTTCCATAATTTTTATTGAGATTTTTGCATTTGCGATACATCAATCAGGATGTTAATCGATGGCGTATCTATTGTTATTATAAAAAGGGGGGGGGTAGGTGCATGGTGGGTAGGGAAGGCAGGTAACTACCAAGGGTGGGGAGAAAAAAACACCTTAATAGTCTAAGGACAATAGCCCAGCCTTCCGATTGTTGCACTTTCCCTGAGCACTGCAAAGGAATCGCTGCACTTAGCAATTTGAGCCGTACCCAGCATTTTGTTGTCCAGCCATGATATTGTTTTTAATTATTTTTTAAATGTTGTTTGATTTTATGTTTATTAATATTTGATATTGGGTTTTTTGTGCTTGTTTTTAACCTGTATCTGTTTGGGCATGTCCCTTTGCAAGCCGCCCCGAGTCCCTTCGGGGAGGTGGAGACAGGGTATAAAAATAAAGTTGTTATTATTATTATTATTATTATTTTTCCCCACCACTTTCCACTATAATCCCCATGGAACTATTTTGAGGGGTACTACCCATAGATTTCCCTCCTCTCAATTCTTTCTTGTTATTGTACAAACAAAAGGGTTTTTATGAGTGGGCTGATGCCTCTTTCTTGTGCACCACCATTGCCATTGTGTTACATGAACAGTATAATTCATGGTTAAACACTGGAAATGGAGGAACCAATACAGAATGTATGTGGGTAACAGCTAGGAATTCTGATTATAGAAAAAATACATCAGTGGCATAGACACAAACTAAGGGTGCATCTACACATCTACACTGATCACTGACACAAGTATGACCTTAGATCAGCCCTATGGTGGACTCCCCAGTGGCGCAGTGGTTAAACCCTAGCTAAACACTGGGGCTGATCCAATTAAACATGAGATAAGCTAACTCAGAGGTAAACCCAAATCCTCACCCAGAATCAGCCTTTCCCCTACCTCCTGAGTGATTGGGGTATGAAAACAACTAGGGTATAGAGAATGTACTGGAAAATGTAGAGGTTCCCAGAGAGAACACTTTAATAGGCCTCTGTGGATTTTCCAGCATAATTCCAAGGTCTTCTTCTGGTGGAAAGTTGTGGTAAAAGACCCAGAGAGTCTTAGAGAGGTGCTATCCCAAGTAAAAAAATAGCATTTTTTGATTTACAGTTTTCCCTTTTTAATAGAAATCCTGTGTCCCTGATCTCAGAGAGTACAAATGGCTGACTATTTAGACAATAGTCTACACATGAGTCTGTTAGGCTCTTAAGTGGAATCTGGATTCATTGAATAGTCACTGAATATTAAACTGAATTTAATATGACACTTCATACTGATACTTACGAGACCATCTGGTACGTGGCATAGGTGCATGTGGGACCCAGGACAGCACATCCAAGATCACCATTATTCTGTAATAGAAAATGTCAACATCAACATCAGCAAAGGATTGGAATCCACAAAGAAAACATTATCCAGATGCAAAGTATTGCTATAGCACTGAAACAAGAAGCTTGAAGATGCTAATGATTGCAGTTGGGAAAGGAATATGATTATGGAGACAGCATGAAGCAGGGCCTCAAGCAGGGGAGAACATGGGCCCCACACCCTTTTATAAACAAAGTATAAAATAAGAGAAGCATGCATTCATGTAGACGCATGAGTGTCTACTTGAAAATTGGTAGTATCAGTGGACATACTGCTATATAATTGAACTATGATATAGAAGACTTTTCCACTGTTATATTTTATGTCTAAAGTGCTCAGAATTTGTTGTTGTGAGTTTTTCAGGCTGGATGGCCATATTCCAAAACATGGAACATCTGGAACATGGCCATACAGCTCAAAAAACTCACAGCAACCCAGTGATTCTGGCCATGAAAGCCTTCAACAACACATTGCTTGGTCTTTCTTTATATGAACTACAACAACAGTTTCCTTAAAGGTGTTTTAATACTCACATAAAGTTTTCTGATGATTTCCACACCTTCGCAAGTGCTAGTGCGGCAGCCGTCTGAGACGTAAAGTGACGTGTCCTCGATTCCATCAAGTGTAGCATTGACATTCACGTTTATGTTGTTCTCTGAAACAAAAACATTAACAATGGAATTGCAGGACATTTTAAAATGTAATGAACTGCAGGATATTTTGGAGGAGGACAAAGAGGTCCTCAGAGGTTGTGAGGTCATACAACCTCTGAGGATGCTTGCCAAAGATGTAGGCGAAACATCAGGAGAGGATGCTTCTAGAACATGGCATATAGCCCGAAAAACCTACAACAACCCAATAAAATTATTATTATTATTATTATTATTATTATTATTACTACTATTATTATTTTACTGACACAGAAACACAGTATGTCACAGCAAATGAGATCTATATGCTGGATTTCGTATCACAAAATCACATCGAACACTTCCCAAGCGTCTAGGACTGTGTGATGTATTTTTGAATGATGCGTGCAGATCCAAATAAGGTGGCCTTTTGCAATTGACAGATCATGATTTTGTCAATGTTTATTGTTTCCAAATGCCAGCTGAGATCTTTTGGCACAGCACCCATTGTGCCAATGACCACTGGGACCACCTGTACTGGTTTATGCCAGAGCCTTTGCAGTTCGATTTTGAGGTTATTATTATTATTATTATTATTATTATTATTATTATTATTATTATTTGTTGTTGCTGTTCATTCGTTCAGTCGTCTCCGACTCTTCGTGACCTCATGGACCAGCCCACGCCAGCGCTCCCTGTCGGCCGTCACTACCCCCAGCTCCTTCAAGGTAATTCCAGTCACTTCAAGGATGCCATCCATCCATCTTGCCCCTGGTCGGCCCCTCTTCCTTTTGCCTTCCACTTTCCCCAGCATAATTGTCTTCTCTAGGCTTTCCTGTCTCCTCATGATGTGGCTAAAGTACTTCAACTTTGTCTCTAGTATCCTTCTCCCCAGTGAGCAGTCGGGCTTTATTTCCTGGAGGATGGACTGGTTGGATCTTCTCGCAGTCCAAGGCACTCTCAGAACTTTCCTCCAACTTTCCTCCATCATTAGCATACAAACATTAGCATACAAAGTATGGGAGAAGGAAGTCTTTACGGGAAGGGAATAGTTGGGAAAGAGATATCTTTAACAGTGACCAGACTAGTTCAGCAACCACAGAAACTGCCAGGTTGATAATCCCTTATGTGAAATGCTTGGGACTAGAAGTGTTTTGAATTCTGGATTTATTTATTGGATTTTTTAAAATACAGGCAGTCCTCGAGTTACGATCATCTGACTTATAAACGACGTATAGTTAAGAATAGGGGTGAGACAACAGGAAGGGAGAGAAATCTGCCCCTAGGAAGGGAAATTCACTTCTGAAAGAGTTATCATGAGGAAGAGGTGTCTCCACTGAAGCTTTCTCACCAATCCTTGTTTCCACAACAAGCCAAATTTTTCAAAATCCAATTATTACAGGGACACAAAGCGAGGTGAAATATTCTGAACAGGGTCACACACAACAAAACAAAAACCACAGGGATGTTAACCCTTCCCGATGCAATCCAAAGCATGTGTGTGTGTCTCTCGACTTACATACAAATTCAACTTAAGTACAAACCTATAGGATCTATCATGTTTGTAACTTGGGGACAGCCTGTATTTGGTCCTAAGCTTTATGTATTTTTAACAGTGACCAAACTAGTTCAGCAGTCACAGAAACTGTCAGATTGAGAATCCCTTATCTGAAATGCTTGGAACCACAAGTGTTTTGAATTATTGATTTATTTATTGGATTTTGGAATACATGTATTTGCATCAAGAGATATCTTGGAGATGGGACCTAAGTGGAAACATTAAATTTACACCTTACACATAGACCTGCAAATATATAATATATGATATTACTTTAATAGTTTTGTATATGAAACAACATTTATGTGCATGGAACCATCAAAGACAAAAGTGCTGGTATCTCAGCAAATTATTTTGTAATTCCAGATAAGGGGTACTTAATCTCTATTAATTTATATTGTAGTAACTACAGCCTGTCTTTCTGCAAAGGCCCAACAGCTTGAGTAAGAATAATAGTTTTGGTTATTGCAAGATTAATACAGTGAACTCAGAAGAGCAAGACTAGGAACTGAAAAGAAATGCCTGGATAAAAATGTAATATTATAGGGACTGGATTTTATCTCTCAGTAATTATTGGTGGTGGTAGGAGCAAACCAATTAAAATAAATGAAGTTCTGAATGAAGGTGAATATTACCAATGAAATGATAAATTTAATCAAATTATTTTTTTAACAAAAGTAGTGGGAATGAAATGGAATTTCAATGTTAAGATTTTTCCTGGTTGATTCTTTACCTAAAGGTATGTTCCCTTATACTTTTGCAAAACGAATACTTGTTTTTTATTAGTCTTTAAGGGCTATAGAATTTGGATTATAAAACTGAAATCACTAACTCAAGAGTAGCTCCACTCAAATGGATTATTTATGCGACTTTTGATTGATTCTCACCCACTTAAGTGCCATTGCTAAAAATAACAATTAAAATAATAATAATAAAAGATTATAACAGAAATTTTAATGTGGGGAGACTTCAGAAAGTTGTGGGAAAACTTAAAATTAATGTATTTTTTAAAAAATAGAACAGATATCCTAAGAACTTTCAGATAGCTTTTCTTCTCAACGTTTTTGCACCTGTCCTGAAGTTATGTGGTTTAATATTCTGTTGATTTTGTCATTTGGGAATTTCAGTTGCTGGGATTTATAGTTAATCTACAATCAAAGAGCATTCTAAACTCCACCAACGATGGAATTGAACCAAACTTGGCACACAGAACTCCTATGCCCAACAGAAAATACTGGAAGGGTTAGGTGGGTATTGACCTAGACTTGTGGAGTTGTAGTTCACCTACATGCAGAGAGTACTGTGGACGCAAGCAATGATGGGTTTGAACAAACTTGGTACAAATACTTAATATGCCCAAATGTGAACACAGGTGGATTTGGGGGAAAACAGACCTTGACATTTGGGAGTTGTAGTTGCTGGGATTATAGTTCATCTATAATCAAAGAGCATTCCGAACCCTGCTAACAATAGAATTGGGCCAAACTTCCCACACAGAATCCACATGACCAACAGAAAGTACTGTATTTTCTGATGGTCTTTGGCAACCCCTCTGGCACCCCACTTGTGACCCCCCCCCAGGGTCCCAACCCCCAGGTTGAGAAACTCTGGTCTAGAGCATCAGAGAATATGCTCAGTGCATCTTCCACATGACATCCCTTAGATATTTGAAGATAGCTGTCATGCCACATCTCAGTCTTCTGATGATTAGAGCAGTTTTGACTAATGAATTTCAAGATTAAAATATTTTAAAGACAGGTTAGATGTGGGCCAGTTTCATTATTAAAAACATCCTGAACACAGAGGAGCAGAAACCTTCAGTATATTAATAATGAACTTGAATGTCTTCACCCTTTCCCGTTCAAAATACTGGAGTACCATAACAATCATGCCCTTACCTTTCAGAATGGACTTCACCAGCTCCACGCCCAGGTCAACAGCTGGCTTAATGTTTTTTGAGCTTACTGGAACATCAGAGTCACTCAGTATCATTACATTGATCAAAGGGTCATTATCAAGACATTTGCCCTCACCACTATGCCACAGCAGCTGGGTGAAGAGGAACAATGCCCTCAAAGCTTGATCCAGCTTTTGCTGCTTCATTATGCCTTGTTGCCTAGGAAAAAGCTGCCCCTTGCATAGGCTCCATGGCCAGAGATTTAGGCTGAGGTAAGTGGGTTTATCATATGCACACTGCTTGATCAAGTTGCTATATTTTCAAATTGATTCTTCTGTTCCCTGCTTTAGCACTCTTTCCAATCCCACACCCAACTGCCCCGGCTGGTACTTCTGCCTGTGGACGATTATCCGCAGAATCCGTGAAATGGGAAAGGGCCAAAGGTTGTTCTCGTATTTGCTGTTGAGAACGTTGGGGCTATAAAACTCAGGCATTAGCCACACCTTGCTAGATAAAGATACACAACATGATGAGCAGGGGGAAGAAAGGAGACGACAATAACAGCATAGAAGGAAGTAAATTAAAATGGAGATGAAACGAAAAGCTCAGTAATGCAGAAGGGAAACACAGATGGCGGCTTGTTTATTTTATCCTTTAAGATAATTCTTGATGGGTGTAGAATGTGGGCAAGAAGGAAGCTCCCACATGTACTATGTAAGAACTATGGCTTCCTTTGTGTGTCTGTTTCCATTCTTTCTGCTTAATTACTGTTGGTAGCAACATATATTTGCTCATTACATTCTCACCTTTCTCCTTCCCTTTTTCAGGTGGGAATTTCAAAATACCAAACAGTAATAAAAGTTCACATGTGACTCTTTGGTCAATAGCCCAAACTTAGATAAAGTAACTCTACGGGTTATAAATTAATGCTATTTCTTAATATATCTTTGCTATCTGCATGGAAATGATGAATATTATTATTATTATTATTATTATTATTATTATTATTATTATTATTACCAGTTGTATTTATATGTCTAGTGATAGAGGTGCTTCTCAAAATAGTGTTATAACAAATGACATTATTTAAGTTGCCAGCTTGGTGTATTGATCTGAGATTGGACTGGGTCTCCAGGAGAGCAACGTTCAAATTCCTGCTCTGTCATGAAAACCCATGTCTCTCAACTTAATAGGAAAGCGCTGGGGTGACCATGAGTCAGAATCAACTTGAAGGCACATCATACTAACAAAAAGTCAGGTGTACTTTGGGATTGTGTGCAAGGTGTGTGCATGTGTTGAGGACTCTTTGGAGCATCCACTGATCATGTTAGCTACAAAATTCTAAGTACTGAAAACCTCTAAGTAACTTTTTCATGTTGCTGGGCAACGTTGTAGGAAATGTAGGCATGATCATCAAGTTTGCAGACGACACCAAATTGGGAGGGGTAGCCAATACTCCAGAAGGCAGGAGCAGAATTCAAAATGATCTTAACAGATTACAGAGACAATTGGCCAAAACTAACAAAATGAAGTTCAACAGAGACAAATGCAAGATACTCTACTTAGGCACTAAAAATGAAATGGAAAGATACAGAATGGGGGATGCGTGGCTCAAGAGGAGTACATGTGAAAAAGATCTTGGGATCCTCGTGGACGACAAGTTAAACATGAGCCAACAATGTGATGCGGTTGCAAAAAAAGCCAACAGGATTTTGGCCTGCATCAACAGGAGTATAGTGTCTAGATCCAGGGAAGTCATGCTACCCTTCTATTCTGCCTTGGTTAGACCACACCTGGAATATTCTGTCCAATTCTGGGTACCACAATTGAAGAGAGATATTGACAAGCTGGAATGTGTCCAGAGGAAGGTGACTAAAATGGTCAAGGGTCTGGAGAACAAGCCCTATGAGGAACGGCTTAAAGAGCTGGGCATTTTAGCCTAAAGAAGAGAAGGCTGAGAGGAGACATGATAGCCATATGTGAGAGGAGGGAGATAACTTGTTTTCTGCTGCCCTGGAGACTAGGACCCAGAACAATGACTTCCAACTACAAGAAAGGAGATTCCACCTGAACATTAGGAAAACTTCCTGACTCTGAGAGCTGTTCAGTAGTGGAACTCTCAGCCCCAGAGTGTGGTAGAGGCCCCTTCTTTGGAGGCTTTTAAACAGAGGCTGGATGGCCATCTGTCAGGGGTGCTTTGACTGCAATTTTCCTGCTTCTTGGCAGGGGATGGGACTGGATGGCCCATGAGGTCTCTTCCAACTCTATCAGTCTATGATTCTATAAAATTATGGGAAGTACCTTGTTAGCAACCCTGTAAATATTCACCTTTCTTCTGCTTTAATTTTTTTTTAAATGACTGTTTAACTTTGCATTTGAGAACTATTATGCATACACTTTTATTCTTTCTTTTTAGGAATGTGTTCAGAGTTTATAGGAAAGGAACAACAGAAAAAGAAAAGTCCAAGGTCAGTTTTAATAAAAGACTCCTAAGATCTGTATCCCTTGTGGACCACACTATGAAGAGCAGTGAGGGGCAGAGGCAATAAAAATAATTGCTGTTTCTAGAAACTCCAGGAGTTGAAATTATCCTTTAGAATAAAACAGAGCCACACATGTCCCAATTCTCAGCCCTCCTCCCACTTTCCCCTTTTGTTCTCAGCTCTGAGGACATCTTGCACTTTTTTATTTTTCTCTTCTTTTTATGAGTGTCATCTCCATTTCTTTTTCTCTCATATCCTTCCACTTGTTCTACTCTTTTTTAAATCAGTATAATCGACACCACAGAGGCAGCACCATAAACTTCCTCTTCCCTCCCCACCTTCATTCCTGAGTAGAAAGAATAGGAAATGCTATAACTTCCCCATTTATTGCAGCATGGCGTCTGTAGCAAAAGGAGAGGGAGAATAACTCTAAGCCTCCTAATTGATGAAGGGAAGTCCTTGAAGATAAAGCATTATGGGAAGGATTAAATGGAAATTTACCTGTGATTGAATCCTCTTCTTGTTGCCTTCTTTTCATTGTTATTTGTCTTCCTTTTGCCACCTTCTTTTGCTACTGATGCTGCCACCTTCAACATAACACCACCAGCAAAGCAATGCAATTTTGGCCAACAGATTTTTGTGGTATATTAAGGTATGCAACCATGTATCATGGTTACATATAATATGGTACCTATATGTGTCTACTTTGTAACTGCACAGCAGTGTCTAGAGTTTAAATCTATTGTGTGGATTGGTTAGTTTCAGCTGATGATGGGATGAAACAACAACAACAATAATAATAATAATAGTAATAATAATAATAATAATCTTTATTTATGTCCTGCTTTTCTGAATGGGACTCAAAGCAGCTCACATTTTAAAAACAGTACAAACAACAAACACATATAACAATAAAAACATCTACAAGAAGTACATAGATAAACATTCTAAACATAAATAAACATTGACAATGACTATTATTGCAGGGACTAGACAATTAAAATAATACACACTTTGCACAGCTCACGGCAAGTTAGCCTTCAGATTAGATTTCTTCATTAAATGCTTGCTTAAACAGGAAGGTATTCAGCTGCTTTTAAAAAGATGTCAGGGAAGTGACTGTTTTAATATCCTTGGGTCAGGGCGGCCACCAAGAAGGCCCTCTCTCTCCTTGTCACCAACCACATTTGCAACAATGGCAGCAGCAAAAGAAGGGCCTCTCCGGAAGATCTCAATACTTGGACGAGTTGGTATGAGGGGATGCGGTCGGATAGGCAAATTGAACCTGAGCCATTTAGGACTTTAAAGGTCAAAACCAGTATCTTGAATCAGGCCCGGAAACATATTGGCAGCCAGTGTCTGTGCTGTAGCAAGGGGATGGTACGCTCTCTGGGTCCAGCACCTGTGAGCAACCTGGCTGCAGATCTTTGGACTAATTGAAATTTAGTCAGCCCAATGTAGAGCCCATTACAGTAGTCTAGGTAGGATTTAACCAAGGAATGGACCACCATGGCCAAGTCTGGCTTCTCAAGGTACAGTCACAGCTGGCGCACAAGCTTTAATTGTACAAAGGCCCTCCTGGCCACCGCTGACACCTGAGCCTCCAGGCTTAGCAATGAGTCCAGGGGGACTTCCAAGCTGTGGACCTGTGTCTTTAGTGAGAGTGTGACCCCATCCAGCACAGGTTGCCACCTGATACCCTGATTTGCCTTACAACTGATCAGAAGGACCTACGTCTTGTCTGGATTCAGTTTCAATTTGTTTGTCCTCATCCAGTCCACAACAGCTGATAGGGTCTGGGCTGCTTCCTTGTTCAGGATCTGGGCTTGTCTTTTGGTGGAAATTTGTAGTAGAGATGGGCATCATCTGCATACAGATGGCACCAAAATCCAAAACACCAGATGATATCTCCCAACAGCTTCATGTAGATGTTAAACAACATGGGGGACAGTATTGAATCCTATGGGACCCCACAGGACAAAGGCCATGAGGTTGAACAGGCATCCCCCAACACCACCATCTGGGTCCGTCCTTCAGGAAAACAGGGCCTCCAAGTCCCATCCCAGCCAGGCAATTCAGAAAGATACCATGGTTGATGGTTTCAAAGGCCACTGAGAGGTCCAGGAGAGCCAGCAGGGACACACTCCCCCTGTCATGCTCTCTACGCAGATCAAGCTGTCTTGGTGCCCTAGCTGGGGCTGAATCTAAATAATCAATTTCTTCCAGGAATCCCTGAAGTTGTGAGGCCACCACCTGTTCCAGAGTCTTGCCCAGGCAGGGGAGATTAGAGACTGGGTGGTAATTGCCCATTTCCATAGGGTCTAATGATGGTCTCTTAAGTAATGGTTTTACAACTGCCATTTTTAGGCTAGATGGAAATTTGCCTTAGTTAAGGGAAGCATTGGCTACCCTCTTCACCCAGTCTACTACCCCCACCCCCCACCCCGGCCTGTTTAATTAGCCAAAAAGGGCAAGGGTCTAGAGTACACGTGTTTTGGTCTCGTTTCCCCAAGGATTCTATCCACATCTTCGAACTGCACCAATTGAAATGAATCCATTAAAACATGACAAGCGGGTTCCTGAGTTACATCCACAGAGACTGTATCAATAGTGGTGTCCAAGTTGGAGCAGATCTGAGCAACTTTATCTGCAAAGAACCTTGCAAATTCCTAACAGCGAGCCACTGGACAGTCAGGGCACTCAAGAATCAGGGTGAAGGAGTC